AATGTTTAAACTTACTATTTTCTTTCAACTTTCTCAAACAACCTTCAGACATGAATTCCAAACACAAAATGAATTCAACAATGGTTTTTACTTATCGTTTAAATTAGTTTTCAACAATGAATACTTCATCAAATATTAATTGTTACTTTTGATTCCAATTTTTTAACTATATCTATTAGCTCTGTTATAACAATGGTGGACCAAAAAAAATGAGAATTAAAATATAACTTAACAGCAGTTGTTAGAGAAAGAATTTTAGTTTTTAAAAGCGTAAGACAAAACGAAATATGATTTTCAGAGATTTGCTTGGGAAGAACTTAAGTACTTAATCTAACTAAGTAACTTAATAAGTAATAATAACTAAGTACTTAATCAGGTTATTCTACAAAATCTGGCCTAACCATGTATTTTTAGAAGCTCCGTAAAATCGTAAATAAATTAGGAATTCCAAATTAGCACGGATAATGATCCATAAGATCATGTTAACACGTTGAATGACATGCTAATTTTACATGACTTGTTCGTCTGGCCAAACGGTGAATAACTGCAAACTAAATTTGGAAATATTCGACAGATTTTGCTAGTTTTTTAAAAGGTTTAGCAAGACATATCTATAAAAAAAAGTGATGAATTATATAAGCCAACGAATTGTTTAGAAATAGTGGTGGATAAAAATCTACTAAATTGAATTTATTAAACGAAAAATCACGATTAATAAACTACCATTTGATAATATTTATTCGTTGTCCGAAGCAAGTTGGCATCTCTGTGTATACTCGTATAAGTAAAACTATTTTTGTGTGTTCTATATTGCATAAATTTCTTCAAACCATTTTAGTAACGATAATAATATAAAAAAATTAATAATTTACTAAAATCATGTGTTTCTAATAATTTTGGCACCTGTTACCCCCGTGGAGCTTCAAACAAACTCAGTGCCGGTCACCGGTGACCCCCATGGCATTCAACGTGCTAAGAGCTCCCCACCCCCTCAATGTTAACTCGAGTCATTATTTTCTTTTACTTTACTTTAAATAAGGGTTCTGAAATATAAATTAAAGATTCGTTTCGTAAATAGATATTTATATAAATATTTAATAAGAATATTTGACCGGTGTGGTCCACTGGTCACCCAAAGCTTAACTGAGGGTAACGAGAGCAACCGGGGACATGCACCCTATGAACTAAAATAATCAAAATAGTTTTTACCTACTAAAAACTTTTCCGAATTAAATGGAATAAATTTAAGCACTACAACTTTCCGGTTGATGTTCTGAAATCAAAAAGCGATATTAAAACATTTAAAATTTTTGAAACAATGATTTCGTGTTGCACAAATATCACATGTGTCTCGCAACACAGAAAAAGAACAGTACAATCATCTCCACCCACTAAAATTTGTTCTACTCTGCGCTGTTCTGTGTGGGAGCATCAGTCTTTAGTACAGCTTTACATTCACGTTCAATTCTCTCATGTGTATTGGTTGATCAGTTCAGATACCCTTCTCTTATCTGCCTTTACAAATCTGGTATCAATATCGCTACCTTTTAAAATTTGCCAACCCTTATTTAAATTTTGCAAAACCCTTTGCAAATCAGATAGTGTTGCTATTAAATATGTTCAGTGTCGTTCGTGTCGATTATGTTGCTATTCAAGAGAAAAGAGCGAATGAAAACTTTTCTCGTTTTTTACACCAGATGGAGACACCACTGCTTGCTTCTAAAACTTAAGATTCCTAATTTTCGTTTTTTCCCCATACTATTAAAATATCTTGTCTTTAGATGGAACTACTGATGTGTTTCGTCTCTCATTTTATTGAGTCGTTTAGTTTTAAACTTTATTTTCCTTATACAGCTCATTCTCCATACTTTTTCAAATTGATGATGATTTTCAACTGCAGCACCAGAATTTGTACATGATTTTAAGAATGAACCACTAATTTTAAGTTAAAAACAAGTGGTAAGTTTTGATTAAACGTTAGATAGCCAATATTCCATTTTTGGAGCATGTCCCTTTTTTCAACTTTTAAAGAGACACAGGCTATCGCCGTTTTTTTTTCTTTTCCTTCCTAATATTTATTCTATCATGCTATTCATATTCATATCATGTTATTCATATGATTGATACACATTATTGTTATGTGTATTCCCTTTTATCAGACAAGTCTTTCTGCTTAAGAATAGAGCAGAACATTCTAGTGCATAAAAATAAACTTTTTATTGAAAATCCATTTACTTGAAAACAAGCATATTGTACACTACTCGGTGTTAGAAAGCAAAATCTAACAATAATCCAATTGGAAAAGAAGACATTTTAAGCTTGACCACTTGTCACAGCTAGTTTGTTACTATTGAAAACTTCCAGTTTACCAAGGAGAGGTAGCTTTCAGTGACGTCATGCACAATCTCTCCGCTAAGTTGTAGGTGTAGTAGTTCATTTACATCGCACTAGAGCTGCACAATGGGCTGTTGGCGAGGGTCTGGGAAACATCTCTGAGGATGATCCGAAGACATGCCATCACAATTTTGATTTTCTGCAGAGAGGATGGCACCCCCGCTTCGGTAGCCTGGTGACCTGCATACGAAGTCGAGCACTTTACTGTAGAACAGTTTAACGAGGACTAATACTGCACACTCTCGGTCCCTACGCAGACTAATCCGAGAAGTCACCCACCCGCACACTGACAGCAGCCAGTGATGCTTGACTTCGGTGATCTGCTGGGAACCGTGTCTTAAAGATCAGTCCACTGCCGGACCTCTCCGCTGAGTAGGTAATGCTCCGTAGCTGGCTCAGATGGCCGAAAATTCGAACTTACAATTATCAATCAAAATGAAGATAATTAATTAAACTTAATTGATTTTTTTTAACTTGACTTTAAAGTTTATTTAGCAAATATTCTATCTTAAATTTAGACAGATTAATTACCAGAAAAAATTACAACTAGGAGGCTCCACCAGTGCTTGCTTCGCTCACCAACCTCCGTAATTGCTTCTCATTCATTATAGCCCTCCCTCCTTTATACGTCAATATTTTACCCAAAAACATAACAATTTGTTCCTAAAATGTACAATTATTGTAGCTTTATAACAAAATAAAAACGCAACGAAATAAATGAGCGCTTATATTTGAAAAATAATCATCTGTACTTTATATGCAAATTTCACCTAAGAAATGCAGAATTTATATTTATATATATATATATATATATATATGGTCTAAAGAAATGTGTTTCGAGATATATGGTATCGGATCAAAAAGACACATTCAATATTCCTCAACAGCTTTCCAATGATGAAAAATTCGATATTTCACCTCACCCCCAGGGCATGATCAGGGGTGTGTCGAGGGGTTTTGAAATCTTAAACCCGAGCTCCTAATTTTGATTGCAGATTAAGATTTTTCAAACAGCCCTATGTGAGGTATAGGTTTATGCATTTTGTTCCACAGATGGCGATGTAAACGAGAAAATTAAAAAAGGTTCAAGCTGTTTGAAATGGTTGTAACTCGAGCATGATTCATCAGATTGAAAATAAAAATAACTAAAACTAAAAATATTTCTGTACTTTATTTCAAAAAGAAAAAATATAAACTGAAAAAATCGATACATTTTTTATGTGTCTATTTTTTATCTTCTTATAAATCTAATGGATCTCGCTACAAACTGTTTAAAATGATGAACTTAATTTGATGGGTTTCGATATTCGCTTTTTTAAACAGCTTGTACCCTATTTAATTTTTCTCGGAAACAGCACCCCCTTTGAAGCAAAATGCATAAACCTACAACTCAAATAGGGTTATTTTTTTCAAGAGAATCCAAACCTGCAATAAAAATTTGGGGGCTCATATTTAAGATTTCATTGTTGCCCCGACACACCCCTGGAGGGTGGGATGAAATATCGAGTTTGGCATCATTGGAAAGCTTTTGAAAGATATTGAATGTGTCTAATTTCACTTTTCTTCCGACGCACATTTCTCGAGACATTTGACCTCTTTTTATACTTTAATATTTAATAACTTTTTTACTCTATTACTCTCCAAACTCTAATATGTTTACATTTTTACTTCATTTTTGATTAGGTTTGTAACTTTGACTTGGTTAGGGTTAAGTTTTTTTTTTCCTTTTTTTTTTCAAACGCATGAGCGGTGAACTTTACATTTGTTTAGCTATAAATGTAAAAATTAATTAGCCTCATCCATGCTAATCTATCTTATCTTTCAAACTTCCCTTTTTCGGACGTCTTTTTTTTTTAGGTAATCAAATTCTTTTCATCGTAACGTTATACTTTTTTATATTATTAAAATCGGAATTCAAATTCGAATTTTCAAATTATTTATATTTTTAATCATGACAAGTCCATCTGTCTCAATTGTGCCACAACAGTTTACTTGTTGTATCGTAAAAAAGATGGCAGCACTATAACTTCCGCTTAAAAAATTCTAGAAAGTAAGGTTAAAGATATTTAAAATTTCTATATCAAACTTAAGTTTATCAAGTATTTGATTCAATCGCTTTTTGTCTAAAAAAAAAACAATGCATAGAAGCGTCAATTCTATTTTATTTAAACAATGTGCATCAATGCCCAGTATTTATCATTTTAATTTTTACTAAAATTGTTATAAATTGATATTGTTTTTCGCCAATTTCACTACTAACGAATATGTGATGTTTGTTTATAAGCAATAGAACTCTTTTGAACACGTGACTTAAAAATTCAAATTTCTCCCGGCGAAATTCGACTGAACTACAATCATTTAGTGTTGGCATGATGGTCAACTTATCACTACTATTTCACAGGATATTATTGAACTGTTTAATTTCAGATGTTATAAATTCGATGTGACGTGAATATTCAAAGTTATTTTTTAAATCGTAGAAATAATTATTATCCAAGCCTAATTTTGCCCAGTGGAGATAAATTTCTTTTTTAACGTAATATTTTGAAAGGTTATTTTAATTCCAGCAGTCTGGAAAGCTTCGAAGTCTCTCTGCAAGCAATAAAATGTATAATTTTGAGTCAATTCGTAAAATAAACCTGGGAGAAAATCCTAACTCGTCCACCAGTAACCAATTTTATCGAAGTATAATTAGAAATGTTACACCTCTTTATGGTTATATAGATAACTTTTCACATTTTAATCATATGCCCAATCGTTCTCAGATTCGTAATTCATTCTTTCCATTTCATCTTAATCCTACACCAGCTTGTAGTCGTATTGATAATTCACTCATTCCATCGCATCTTAATCAAATCAATCCTCCTTCATGGGAAATAAAAAAGGAAATTCCTATGGATGATTCATTAACGCATAGAAACCTTTTAAATTCAACTTCTGAAATTTTAAAGGATAATTCTACAGAAATTAATCTACAGAGCCCTGCTCTTTTGTATGCACCAGAAAATCCTGTGAGTATCACTTCTAGTAATTTATATAGATCAACAGAAAATGAATCTATATCAACAAGTGCTATGAAACAGGATTTGCATAATTTAGTTGATAATCATTCTACATCAACAAGTGCTATGAAGCTGGATTTGCATAAATTAGTTGAGAATGATTCTACATCAACAAGTGTTATGAAGCTGGATTTGCATACATTAGTTGAGAATGATTCTACATCAACAAGTGCTATGAAACTGGATTTGCATACATTAGTTGAGAATGATTCTACATCAACAAGTGCTATGAAACTGGATTTGCGTAGATTAGTTGAGAATGATTCTACATCAACAAGTGCTGTAGAACCGAGATTGTGTGGATCAGTAGAGAATGATTCTACGTTCGCAAGTGCTGTGGAATTGGGTTTGCATAGATCAGTTGAGAATGATTCTACATCAAAAAGTGTTGTAAGTGTAACAATGCAGGAGAGTAACCAAGAACTGAATTATCTGAATTTTTGTTCTAGTTTAGAAACTAATGAAGTTATGCTGCCTGATTGTGTTATCAAAATTGAAAATGATACTTTTAGTTGTTCCAAGAGTGAACATGATATCAATAATGAAGGAAATATCGATATGTCTTTAATTTCTCAAAAAATAAAAAAGGTAGCATATTCTAAGCCCTATCAATTTATTGACCCTCAATCTTTTGATACAATTAACAATGTTGTTGTAGAAAATGCTTTTAGCTTAAAAGACAATGAGAAAATCAGTAATGATTGTCACTTTTACAAAAAAAATTCGTGTTCTCGCTTTTCTGAAAACACTTACAAATGCAACTTTTGCTCTAAATTTTTTAATCTCAAAGTTATTTTAAATGCTCATATCATTAAAGATCATAAAACAAAAAGATTTCAATGTCATAAATGTTTAAGGAATTTTAATTCCAAAACTGAATGTAAGGCCCATTTTATAACTACTCACAAATATGCCAATAAAGTGAGATGTAATTATTGCTTTAAAAGTTTTAAGGAAAAGTTTATTCTTATTGAACATTATGGTACATTCCATAAAATCACTGTTCCATTTTGGCATGAAACACAATTAAGTAATAATGATAATTTTAAAACTATTACGAGTAAAAATGGTTTAAACAAACCAGTTTGCCCACTGTGTCGCTATGAATGTCGGTCAAAAATAAATTTGATGCGGCATTATAGTAAAGTTCACAGAATTCACTTTAGAGCTGTTTGCATTGTATGCAGTAAAAACTGTTTCTATTTTGGTGTTCTAAAGAATCATTACCAACACCATTGTCTTCATCCATTTTATTGTTGTGACTGTAAAAAACTTTTCAACACTATGTCCTCATTTAAACTTCATAACTGTAAAACTGAGATTGATAGTGGAGCTTATTCTTGTGCAAACTGTAATAGAACTTTTATAGGGATCTCCCAGCTCAATATGCATGTATGTGGAAAAACACTTGGAAGTCTACAGTTTAATGATCCTTCTAAAGCTGTTGGTCCTCTGGTTGTAATTGTCAAAGAAGTTAACTTACAGGATCAAATCGTTAAAATGGGTTCCTTTACAACCCAATCTGTAGCAGGAACAGACATGTTAAGTGGTGAATCTAAAATATACAAGTGTAGGCTTGTTCATTATAGGTGTCACATTTGTGGGAAATGTTTTAAACTCAAGCATAATCTTGTAGCTCATAGTTTTTGTCATGTGGATAAATCCTTATCCTGTCCCATTTGTGATCGAGTCTTTCAAGATTTTAATCTTTTACAAAAGCATTATTTAAGCCATGTAATAAAACCTTTCAAATGCGACTCATGCGATCAGGGATATATTTTTGAACACAGTCTCGTCAAACATACTTTTGGATTAAAACAGAGTCGCCAACAGTCATTTTCCTGCAAGGACTGTAATAAACTTTTTGATGATATGTTACAGTTAGAAACTCATAAATGTGATGACCGGCTTTTTACTTGTGAAATCTGTAGAAAATGCTATGACGAGGAACGGATGCTTATACTTCACGGTTTTTTACATTTGTGTACAAAACCATATGTTTGTCCTGTTTGTAACAAAAACTATACCTGTGTGTACAGCTTATGTCATCATTATGTTACCCATAAACCAGAAGAAAAGCGTGATAGTGAAATTTGTGACCAACGTTTTGTGGAGGATCGCAGAATCCAAACTCGTTTTTCTAGAGTACACAATGAAAATTTTCTCAGGCGTTCTACCCGCAAAAAAAGTTTCGGTGATATTTTGGACCACAAAACTTTTCAAGAAAATGATATTTTTAAACACCTTGAAGACGAAAAGCAGATGCAAATAGATGTATCTACAAAGATCCAAACAGATAGTAGTTATGTCTGTGATGTTTGTGATAAGGGTTTTAATGATTATGAAGAATTCCTGTGTCATATTTACAGATCACATGAAAAAAAGATTCTTAGTTGTCGTAAATGCAGAAAAAGTTACAGTACAATTGTTTCCTTCCAAATTCATAAATGTAGTCAAAGATATGAAATCTTTAAAACCGAGTGTAAAGCGAATGTGTGTGATATTTGTAATCGTCGTTTTACTTCAGAGAAATTAAAAAAACATCTTCATCATTTTCACAGCAAAGATCGCCTGCTTAGTTGTTGGCGTTGTAGAAGGAGTTTTAAAACAATCTTAGGTTTCAAAAAGCATAAGTGCTTGGGTTGTTCAATTTGTAAAAGAGTGATAACAAGTACAGAGTTAAAAAAACATGAATCAACATGTAAGAGACTCAAATGTGCCTTTTGTGATTTGTATTTGCCCAATAAAGCAGCTTTTATTAAACACACAAAGACGCATGAAAATAAAATTGAAAGTAACCAAGTGGAAATGAAGGAAACAGATTCAAAAGAAGACCTTGATTTAAGCAAATACTACACCGTAGTCACAAATCCCAGGAGGTATGTATGTGGTACGTGTAAAAAGATCTGGTATGATAAAGAATGTTTTGAAAAGCATTGCATTAGGATCCATAAAACTGATGTAAATGACACCAAAGTTGTTTCATCTAAGCAGCTACAATTTTCTGAAGTGAATGCACCTTATCCGAATAGCTCCAGTAGTGAAGTTTTTTCAGTTACTTGTGAAATTTGTCACAAAATATTCAGTTGCCCAGATGTGTTTTTGAAACATGCTTGCATTAAGAATAAGAAAAAAATATTAAAGTGTGATGTTTGCAATCTAATTTTTAATAGAATGCAAGGCTACACAAGTCATATTCGTAGTCATTCAAGATCTGTTTTCAAATGTGGAATTTGCTGTAAGCATATAACTGCGACAGGAAAATTGAAAGTACATATATCTGAACATTTAGATATAAGGAAAAATAAGTGTACAATTTGTAATAAAGCTTTTGTAAGAGCAATTCTTCTTAAAGAGCATATGGCTATACACGGCAACCAGAGACATTGTGAATGTAAATTGTGTGACAAAAAGTATTTTACAAATCGCGAACTCCACGGACATTATCGTGTTAAACATCCTGAAAGTTCTTACAAGTCAAAAAAAATTTAAATTTTTTTGATTAAATTTTTTTTAATTTTTAGATGTGATCAATTTTCAATTTTAATCATTCAAGGAAATCTTGAACACACTTTAATTTGTAATCTTTTTTTTTTCTTTCTGTATATAAGATAACTTATGACAAATTTGGGTACTGAAGAAAGTTCCGAGCATTACTTCTACCATTAGACAAAATTCTTTCAATAATTAACATTTTTATTTATTAAAAAAAATTAAAAACTGTGTTAGATACATGCAAACTTTATTATAGTATTCTAAATATTTGCATTATTTCAACAGATTGTGTTAATTCTTAATTTTAAAAATAAATAAATAATTTTTTGTGTGAGGGACTGCTCAAATACACATATATAAACCAAGAACGTAAAAAAATTTGCAGTAAAAATATTTCTTTTTATAAATGTTTCAATTTTATCAAGGTAATTCAAACTATAATGAGGCTTTTTTCTGGAGTTATGAAATGGAATCATTTATTGTTTATATTGTTTGTAACTCATGTTAGAATTAAAATAAAAGCTCCAAATGACTTCATTTTTAGTATCTTACATTACATTAATAGTCCCATAGTGATTATTAACACTATCTAAACAATAATTCAAAATATTGTGTTTTAAAATATAATATTACTTTATACTTTAATTATATTCTGAGTTAACACTAAATATTTTAATTTCCCATCATATTCATTAAAGTAATTTATAAATTTTTATCCAAATATTTATAAGTACAAAATTGGCTTAAATTTATTAAAAAATATGAAAGTGTGATGTTTGCAATCTTAATTTAAATGGAATGCAAGGCTACTCGAGTTATATTCGTAGTCATTCAAGATCTGTTATCAAATGTGAAATTTGCAGATCTAACTAACTAGTATGAATTGGCTTAAAATAAGTTTAGTATGAATTGGTACATTGATCTAGTATGAATTGGCTTAAAATAAATTTATAAGATTAAAGATTTTTGTCCTATTATTTTTTTAATATTCATTTTTATGTTTCTGAATCTTTTTTTTAATACTTCATTTTATTAGTTATTTAAAAAAATGCTATTATAAAGACTTGATATTAAATTTGAGTTCAGCTAAAGTTCTTTGTATTAGTATACATGCATGGATAATTCCATTACTTATGAATGTCATATTCACTCATTTTAAATGCAAATAATTCTGTTAAAAGGAATCAAATAGTTCTAAAACTTTTGTTCTAAAATAACTTTATACTGCTTAGTTTTTCAATTGATTCCCCTTACACATACCCAGATTTATAAATCAGTGACTCTGCTTGACTTAAGAAACTTCAATTTCTTAAAACTCTGGACTTCTAAACTTCTGGGCTTTTTACTAGAAATGGATCTCAATTTAAAATATGAATATTTTAACTCTTTATTCATCAATTAATATAATTCATAATTATTCTATTTATTGATAAAGAAAGCAAAGAATTTTAAAATAAAAAATAATTATCTGTGGACAATCAAGGCTTCTAATTAAAAATAGGCAACTAAGTCTACTTAATGTATTAAAATATTAGTGGTCGGAATCAGCAGGAAACAAATAAAATAACAATTGTAGTCTTTTTTTTTTCATAATGTTGTGTGCTTTGTTAAAAAATAATAATAATGTGAGTAGTCAGGGGTCTGTCCAGGCCGAATTTACTACCGTTTAGCGGTACCTTCACAAATTCGCTTAAGGAAAAACGGTAGTTTCACAAAATACTTTTTCTTAAAATTTTATTTTGGTATCCCTTAAGAAACGATAAATTCATATTTTTGTGTTGATTTTTTAATATAGTTTTTTATTTTTCACAAATTATGTCTAAAATTTCACGAAATAGTTACCTCTCAGAAAAACCCAGATAGACCCCTTGTAGTGTGATACAAAGAATAGTTGTTGGTAGTTATTCTTATCAACTATTTTTAACATTAACTTGGTAACGAAACGAAGTTCAAATGCTGTTAATTTTTTGTATCTAATTAGTACAAATATTTATAGGTCTATCAATGGTTGTAATGAAAATGTTCCTGCCATCAAACAATAATAAAAATTATGTATTACTGATATTTAAACTAGCCAGTATGAATAAAAGCTTATTTATTACTTAGGCTGCACCTTCAAAAGCGACACATGAAACATTGATACCTTCCTAGCATTCCTTAAATTAATTATTCACTGTCAAGAAAATTATAAAAAATTGAAGATCAACAGAACAAATTCATAAAAAATAGTTTAGAGTAACAAACTGGACCATGTAAACAAATAAGCATTTCTTAATCAGGGGTCTGTCCAGGCCAAATTTACTGCCGTTTAGCGGTACCTTCACACCCTTTGGGCCATTTTCTTAATTTATGTGCATGCCAAAATGATTAATTTAAATGTATCTGAACTAACTTATGTATCTTGTATTATGTATGTTATGTAACTAAATGTATCTTAACTAAAATGATTTATTTTTTATTAACTTATGTATATGTACACAAAAATAATTCATTTTTGTGTAAATTGATACACTTAGGAAATGGCACGGAGGGTTTGACCTCACAGAATACCTCCGTCCACTAAGAAATCAAAAATGTCAGTGTCGTGTGTTTGTTAGCATAGTTTTTGTCAAGGAAAGTTAAGGAATCCATGTATTGGCTATTAATTAGTTAAATTTTATTACAGCTACTAAAAAATGTATTAAAACTTCCTTTTTGCAACAAAACCAGAGGCATCGGAATGGTGGATCACTCGGACCTTCCAGAAATTTTCAGTATTCAACGAATATTGTCTGGTCATTTAAGATATGTATTAATATAATTTTTATGTTCTCATTTTTATCTTTTTTTAAGGAACAGAAATGAAATTATTTGACTTTCTTTAAAAAGCTGTAAAAAAATATACTTGAGTATAGTTTCAGATTTACATTTTACAATTTTGTCTTAAGAGATCTAAGCCCCTCTTTGCCATAGTCAATCACTCGCCTTGGTACTTTTATTTTCGAATACATTCAAGCCGGTTTCATCCGAAATACAAATTATTTAGAGATACAAATTTGCTTATAATAATATCTTTTTGTATCATCCATCAAGAAAATTCACGAACACGGTATGAATCTACAGTTTAAACAGTTATTAGCTTAATTAGATTGGAGAGCAAAATTCCAAAGCAGAAAATATTCAATACCTTATAGTACTAACATGAACTATTATTCCGCCTCCTGCTATTAAATTTATTTACCTTAATCTAACACATGCGTGGCTCTCGAGATTGCAAAAGGTTTAATACTCCTAGATTAAACTTTAAAAATATGCTTATTTGATGATTTTATAATTAATTTCTAAACTGCCATCATAAATTTCTTTAGTACCTCATCAGTGATTACCAGATAGTTTATATATATGGTTAAATTGATTAGGTACAGTAGCATACCTAGAACTTTTGCCGCCCAGGGCGATCTCCAGTTTGCCGCCCTTTCTATTATAAGTCAATCAAATAGTGGTTTTTATAAATTAATACGCATAAATAAATTATTAAGTTATTTAATCAATATTAATTAATACACAGAGTAAATTTTTTAGACATATTTGTATGCACTCGTAAACATATTTATATAATATGTACTCTTCTAGCTTTCATACTAGAAAAATCGTGTATAATGCTCTCAAAATTTATATTATTTGTAATTTCTTGTTCTATTGACAATATTGCAAGATTTTGTAGTCTTAATTGACTCATTGTAGAACGAAGATAACTTTTTATCAACTTCAATTTTGAGAAGCTTCTTTCGCAACTAGCGACACTGATTGAAATTGTTAAAAAAATTCTTAACAAAATTACAATGTTGGGAACAGAATTTTCCAACCTATACTGCTGAATAAATTTTAGCAGATCAAGAGGGCCCTTCTCCCCGTTTTTCCAATGTTTTGCCTCTTCTTTTAGTGTAGGTACAGCCATAAAAACCTGGATCCTTTTTCTTTCAATATGGAACTGTTCTTTATCAATGTNAAGAGTCAATTTTAATGTCCCTTTATTATAATATGTTAAAATAATTGCAGGCGCTAATTTATGATTCTGCCAAAATAAGAATTCCATTCGGCAAAATGAAAAATTTTCCCCTAACAAAATTAAAAGTTCGAGTCTCCCCTGGACAAAACCTATTATTTTATTCCTCGTTGCGGCAACGAAACGAACTTTAAAAACTAAGCTAACTATACCGAAAAATCTACTACCATTCTTTTTCGAACGGAAACAGAAATAGGTAAATGGAAAAATCTACACTATGCTTCCAATTCTCTTTCGGAAGGAAAGGAAACTAACTAAAATGAAAAATCTTCGCAATGTTTCCCATTCTCTCTCCCCCCCCCCATTTTCTCTCAAGCAAAATCAAAACTAACTTTGAGAGCGAAGCGAGCTAAACTGAAAAATCTACCCAATGCTCTTCATTCTCTTTCGAGCGAAATCGAAACTCACTTTAAAAGGGAAACTTGTTAAATTGAAAAATCTACAAAATACTCCCTATTCTCTTGAACTCTCTCCCTTACTTTATTTATTTTATTTTATAACCGTCGTTGAACAGCCGACCCAATTTAATGGGTTTACGACTACTAATGTTCAACTCCGTACCCTTGCAATTTTGAACCAATCCAGAAGACAAGGAAACTCCTGGATCAGTACCCCCAGAGGTATTGATTTGTTATGGGAACATGGAGGACTTTGAGACTCGACAGATTTAACGTGCATCAGTCACCATTTACTACACGGGGAGTCTTCGGCCGGCGAGGATCGAACCCACGACCTCTTGGACTTGGGCCCAGCGCCCTACCGACCAGGCTATCCCGGCCCGCTCCACTATATTAAACTATATGGGATTTAGAAACTTGAAATTACTAAGGTGTTTAGAAAAGTGTACAGAAATAATGATGGAATAAAAAAAATTGACTGCCGATAATTTGTTTTAGAATTAATAATTGGGTTAAACGTAAAAATAGCATACTGGTCTCTCTACAGGCCATAAAATTGCAACTACAGAGTTAAAACTTAGCATCCTGCACTGGCCACATTTGTTGATGATCTTAAAGTGGAGTGTTTTGTATAAATTCCATTTTGTTCGAAAGTTATAGCCATTTTAAGTTCTTTTTCATACATTTTTTCTCACATTTTTTTGCTCACTTTGTTGTGCTACTCAAAATCTATTGGACTTAAGCTTGGAATTACTAGGGTGCGTAAAAGTGATGTTCACGGAGTAAGTTGGAAAAAAAATTGTGTTTCGATTCGCGATCGCAACACTCGAATACGCCATCTGGGGAGAGCCTTTTCATGCCGGTTTCATGCCTTTAGCCCTTCTCCCTTCCCTATCCTCCTCTTTTCAGTTATATGAATGTACTACGATATTTTTCCTTTTTACTTAATAAAAATATTTTTTAAAATTTCCGTGATACTTTTCTTTAGAACTATGTTTAATGTAGTTTTCAGTTCCATGTAGTTTTTCAAGTTAAAAGATTTTAATCTATATGAAAATCAAGAGAGAAACTAACGTACTTCCTTCCTCTATGACTTTCCACACGCTAAAGGGGAAAGCATGTAAAGTGTTGCCATAGGAAAAGAGTTCTGCTCTACGCCACCTGCAGCCCATTTCGATCGCCAATTGTTAGTTCGAGAATTTTTTAATTATTAAACTTTAGAAAAAAAAAAAGCGATCGTGCATGTTAGTCGATCTATTGTCCTCTGCAATGCAACGACAGTGTTGAAATTTGATGTGCTGATAGATCATTTTGTATTATAATTTAAACGAGTGATTTTTTTTCTTCGAAATTCCCTTTTGGTCAAAAATTATTGCAAAATTAAGATCTTTTTCGTGATTTTTTTTCAGTTTTTTTGCTTTAAATATTGAGTATCTATTAATTGTCGAAAATTAATTTTCCCTCACGAAATCTTTTTTTCGATAGTTTCTGAACTCGCCCTCATTCAAAATTAGCAACAACAAAAAAAAAACTACTCAAGAGCGATAAGAACAGTAAAATTATGAGTAAATTTACTTCTCATTTATTTCTTCTTATTTAATCACACATTCTGTATCACTCATTCTATTGAATCACACATTCTTTTCCATTTAAAGTACAGATGATTATCTTTCAAATATAGGCAATAGTATATTTTGCTACCATTAAGAAAATGTTCTAACAAAAAACTGAATTATTTGTATATTTTGAAGCCAATATGGTTTTTTTTCTTGTGGATATTAACCATTATTGGAATCTATAAAGAAGAAAATAAACAATGATGAATGAGAAACAATGATAGGGGTTGGCGAGCAGGTTGCAGAGCCTTCTAGTAAATTAAATTTAATTTTAAGAACTTGTGATATTTCAATTTATAAATAAGTGTTTTATATTAATTCATTACAGTTTTTTCCTGTTATGTAAAACAGTTTTTCAAACCTGTTATATAAAACAGGTTTTCAATGAATTTAAAATTTCATTAATTATAATTAGATGGCGAAACACATGAGGATATTCTAATATACTCAATAGACCGATTGCAACTTTTCCTTGAGTATTTAATGTTAAGGTATTCTTTCTTATTTAATGTATCTGAAACCTGTCCACTTTCAGTAAAAACGAATGTATACACATGTACATGTCCTTTTAATTTTTTATGTAAATTTAACTTAATATTTTTTATGCAAGGTAGAAAAGGATCATCTTCTATATGAAGCGGTTATATACTATATGTCACGAAATTCGTAGTGAATTTGACAATTTATTAACTAGCTACCGGTCAATATGTTTATGGAAATTTCTTTAGCACACTTAACAAGAAACACGGTTATTATTAATAAGAATCAGAATAACCGCAGGATATATTAAGAGTCAACTCTATGGGTATAACTCTTCCCTGGTTGATTGATTGATTGTTAATTTACGTCGCACTAGAGCTGCACAATGGGCTATTGGCGACGGTCTGGGAAACATTCCAGAGGATGATCCGAAGACATGCCATCACAATTTTGATCCTCTGCGGAGGGGATGGCACCCCCGCTTCGGTAGCCCGACGACCTGCGAGCGAAGACGAGCACTTTACGGTAGCACAGTTTAACGAGGACCAATACCGCACACCCTCGGTCCCTACGCAGACTGATCCAAGTGGTCACCCACCCGCACACTGACCATAGCCAGTGATGCTTGACTTCGGTGATCTGCTGGGAACCGTGTCTTAACGATCAGTCCACTGCGGGACAACTCTTCCCTGGCATTTTCAACTCTATTTTTTTTTAAAACTTAAGAACCACAGAGGCCGATCCGGCACTTTAATTCTTCTTGAAACTAATAAAGCTGAGCATTTTGTACTTGAAAATAAAACTTGCAAAAAAAGAAAAGATCACTTTAGGAGGATCGTCGTTGTTGTTATATAATAGTTCATTTACTTCGCACTATAGCTGCACAATGGGCTATTGGCGAAGGTCTGGGATCCCTGAGGATGATCCGAAGACATGCCATCACAATTTTTATCCTCTGCAGAGGGGACACTTTGGGAGGAAGCTTGAAATTGAAAGCTTAGTGAATTCCAAATTCTGGCCCTTTATGATGCGAGAGTTTCTTCTATCAATCAAAGGAAGTTGTTGTTGTTAATTTACGTCGCACTAGAGCTGCACAATGGGCTATTGGTGACGGTCTGGGAATTATCCCGGAGGATGATCCGAAGACATGCCATCACAATTTTGATCCTCTGCGGAGGGGATGGCACCCCCGCTTCGGTAGCCCGACGACCTGCGCGTGAAGTCGAGCACTTTACGGTAGCACAGTTTAACGAGGACCAATACCGCACACCCTCGGTCCCTACGCAGACTGATCCAAGTATTCACCCACCCGCACACTGACCGTAGCCAGTGATGCTTGACTTCGGTGATCTGCTGGGAACCGTGTCTTAACGATCAGTCCACTGCGGGACCAATCAAAGGAAGAGAGAAATCCCCTTGAAATTAAATTCGATCCATAAAAAGCTTACAAGCTGTGTTTAAGAGGTTACTACTCGGGCAGAAACGAGGCGCTGGAAACGCATGCAAGTTCCTTGCGTCAATGTTTTGGGTTCTTTTATTTAAAATTTATACAAACATTCAACATGTAATAAAGGCAAGTTATAATTTTTTTAGCAGTAAAATGAATTGTATAAAATTTTAGACTACTGTATAATGAATTGGATTTCAAAATTTATTAGCACATAGCGAAAAAGTACAGAAATATTCTGACTAAATTAAAATTAAATGGCAGTAACGTAATTAATAGCCATTCAAATGCTATAAATAATTTTATCAAGCTTTTGTTTGTGTTTTATTGTATTTCTTACACTCTCTAAAGATTGAAGTAATAAATTAGTTAAGGGTGGGTAGTAAACTTTTTGTTTCTGAGGCTCTTTTATTTATTTTTGCTGCTAATTGATGGGTATTCTTTTTCAATGTATGTAAAGATATCGATTAGAGTGTAGTATAGAAAAATTGGATTAGAGTGTAGTATAGGGTGCTCTTTTGATTGGGAGTTTTACTTACATCTCTTAGTGTACATGAAATGTTCCATTTTTCCATTGTTTTATCACAATTTCTTATTATTAGAAAATCTCACTTTTAGTCATTTTTCTTGTTTCCTGTTGGAACATAAGAAATATTCAAATAAGAGAAGCGGCTTATTGTAAATTTTTACCTTAAAATGTATTAAATTTTTTAGACCTTTACTTTATTTGAAGGCCTTGAAAAAAGATATTGAAATTACCTAGACAAATGCAGTTACCCAGTTGCTTTACTTAGGATAAATTTAAAAATGTATATTTAGTGATTTGTCTGGGGAGCAGTATTACGAGTTATTGAATTTACTACACTTTTCGGGAATCAGAGTTAATTAACACTTAATGTTGAAGACAACTTTACTCCATTAAAAAAAATTTATAATGTAACTTTTTATTTCCACTTTCTGCTTTTTTGAAACATCTATACCTTGTTTTATTTAAATAAAGTACTGATTTTATTTTTACCTTATTTCCTTCTGAAAATTAAAAAAGAATAACCATAAGAATAGAGGATATAATACAGGAATATTTCAGTATTGGTACCTGCATCAAAATAACAGCCAAGTGTTGGTAACTTCTGGGTAGTTTGCCCGTGAAAAACGTAGAGATCCTTAGACAAACTGGTACACATATTTTTGTAAAAAATTTTCAAACTTAAAACTGTTTGATGCATTGGTGATTGTAGTTGGCGCAAACAGATACGGAAATATGCTTTTTTTTTTCAATTGGAAATAGGTTAAGCTGTAATTAAAACAAATGTTTTTTTTTTTTTTTTTTTTTTTTTTTTTTTTTTTAAACAAGCTTGGTTTTTTGAGAAAAAAAAATCTTTTTAATAACTTAAATTTTTTTCATTTATAAGAATATTTTTAGTTTAAATATAACCAAATGAAAAATAGTAAATTTTCTGATAAAAATTTTTAATCTTGAGTTTAATTGCAATTGTGAGTTTTACTTTAAACGAATATAGATGTGATATGTAATTTTTAAAAGTTTGTGTTACTGCTTTGCTACTAAAATATAATTCTAAAGTGATTAATGTCAATAAATTTAAAACTAGGTCATGATGTCTAAAAATTTTTTAAAACCAACCATTATTTCCATGTTCAGATAGTTTTTAAAAATTTAAAAAAATTGCAATTATAAGGTCAAAATTTTCTCTGTTTTTGTGCTTATTTATTTTTTACAATTAAAAGTATAACTGGCTATGAGGTGTTTAATGGATTTAACTTTTCATTTTACTTTTAGAACTGTTTTCTGTTACAAGCGGTCACAAATTATTATTGTATGTATGCAGTTTATTCAATTGATTCTAATATTTTTAATACATATAATGTTTATATAAAAGAGCATAAATCAAAAATATTTAAAATTTTAGCGTTGTATATTATTTTATTTAATGTTGCTTTGTAAACATATTGATATACTTAAATCTTCATTGTGCTAAGAAAAGGGACAAAAAAGTTTTCTATTTCTTAGTGATCATTAGTAGTAAAAGAACACACAGAGTTGCTGGAAATTATCAGACCACAGTCTTTTTTCTTTCAGTTTAAAACTCGCCACACCCAAAACTAGAGCTCTTTTTTTTTTTTAATTACAGTGACTTTTTTAAAATTATTTTTAGAAATGTTTCTATATTGTTTACATTATTTTTGATAATAATTGTTTTCTTTACAAAGAAGAAAAAATTTATTTGATTTTTTACAAATCTTGCTTGAACTTGCATAGGTGTTGAAAAGATTATAAATCAATCATTTGCAATATTTTATTTTTCACACTATTTAGTCCCTTCTCATTTTTTATTCCTTGTAGGCTTTTTTTTTTGTAGGGATAATTTTCCATCCATATTTTCTATTATAGTTAAAAATTTGCAAAGCAAAAATTTTTTTTTTTTATTATAAATAATTTTGAAATTTTTTTTTAATTTGACAAAAAATTTCCCAGTGTTGCCTGAATTTACTCTGAACACCATTTGTGCGATTGGATTTATTCTGCGTCCTTGGTAAAGCATACCTTTACTATTTTACATAAAATTCTGCCAGTTTAATGTTTTTTGTCCTTTTCCTCATTTTATTATTTTCAAATTTTTTTTAATTGAAACGTACAATACCTTAAATTTTTCATATTCTCCTTAAAATTTGTATCTATTTGATTGTAGGAAAAAGTATGATCATTATATTTATCAAATTGATACAAATATTATGAACTGAAGGCAGTTTAATGATATTAAATAATGCTAAAGTATGATATTTGTCATATATATATATATTACTGACAAACAATGGAGAACTCATTCTTTTGTACATAATTAAGATAACATTTGACTAAGATAACATTTAAATGTTAAATTATTTGCATGTAAGTATGTATATCAAATGTAAAATAATGTATAAGCATATTCAAAATCTTCAGTTTTTCTTTTTTATTATGTTTGCATGTTTATGGAAGAAATGTGGTTAGTTTTTAATTGTTCATTGATAATATTAATTAATACGTTGAAAATTTTTTCATGATTGTACTTTATAACAGCTGCTAAAATATTTTTTATTTAGAGTGCAAATTATTATTTAACCTTATATTTTAAATAACCCCCACCCAAAAAAACCTGGTTTATTGGTCATAAAAAAAATAAAAAAAAACTTTTGCTTTTTTCCAACCTTGATCAGAAGTGCAGGTACAGGCATAAGAAGTAATGGTAATATTCAATGATCTGTCATAATTCAGAGCTGGGGTTTGATCCTGTTGACTAACAAAACAACTGGCATGTATATGCACAGCATTGTTGTCTCGACTGAAAATCCTCTCGTTTGTGGTGTGGATGTTTTGAGAGAAGGATATCAGTTCAGGCGCTGTCCATGTCGTTTGACCAGGATCAATTCTTTCCTTCGTTCTTTCCGTGGCCATAAAAAATCGAGCCTTAAAAATGGAGTAGGTGCTTGAATATGGTTGGGTGATGGTGACTGTTATAATTGTTCAGCAAAAAAATGCAGAAATCCATTTTGTGAAAAAACAATTCATGTTAGAAATCTAACTGTTTGTAAGATTTTGATGACTTATGAGAATAGTCGTATTCATTCTTCTTTTCTGTAAAATTTACTATAGAATTTAAAATATTTTAAACTTTTAGGAATTACCTCTGTATTGGTGTAATCGCCGATAAGAAATTGGGATAATGACTGAAAGACATTCTTGAGATGGATTATGTAGCTCTTTTAATTAACTATATTGGTTATTTTTTAAAACTTATTTTAAACTATGTGTCTCGTTTTCCCTTACTTATATAAGTATTCATACAGCCCTATAATATGTCAAATTCTTGATATTATGTCTTTTTGTCATTTGCATCGATATAAATTTATTGAAATATTTTAATTTATATTTCAGGAAAATTTTGAAATGGCTGAAGTAAAAAAGATCTGCTGGATCTTCATCATAGCCAACAGTAACCTGAAGTTTTCAGGCACCTGTAGTTTTCGGTTGTAGTTTTCAGGAAACCTTAGAAAAAACTTTAATAGTTTTCACCCAGGAATTTTTTTTTAAGTACGAGTTTTATTTTAAGAATAATGAATGTGGTTGCTGAAAGAAATTGTTCTATCTGAAAATATTGTTGAAGAATGTATTTTCTAAACGAGAAAAATATTTCTGAACTGATCAGTGCGATTAGCATAATAACACTTATTATTTGTGAATATGTCATTGGTAAAAAACTCGAATCTTATTGTTCATTTAACATTAGAAAGTGTATTTAAAAACGAGTAATTACTAATCCAAGTGTGAATCATCTATAATTAAAAGTCGATGTATGGGAAATATAAGTAGAGAATAAGGAAGGAAAGGCAAGTAGATAAAACACCACAGAAAACTTCACTTTAAATTTTCACAAATTAAAAATATTGTAGAGTCTAGTGAAAAATTTCAAGCCTGTTCTTCGAGTTTTTATGGTATAGAAATATCATCTGATGTGCCAGGCTCTTATGATTCGAGTCAAAGAATATTTAAAGGGAATTTAGGTACCTCTTTTTCTCATATATTTGGTGGTCACATTAGTGTGTCTAGTCCAGAAATTAATGTAAAATATTACGATTTTCCTCTAAAAACCTATTTTTGAATAAAGTAAAAAAAAAAACGTAATTTCTGATTAGAATTTGATGAACAATAAACAGAGTTCTGGCAATGATTTGAAATCTATAAATAGTGCACATCTGTCTAGGATTTTTTTCCAAAAGAGGACGATGGAATCATTTCAATTTCTTATAAAGTGCTGAAAATCAAAGCAGTGGTGCAGTTAACTTAAAAAATATAATTTGTCCAAACCTGATATATCTGTGAAAAACATTCAATTACCTACTCTTTCCAGTGAAGTACCAAATCAAGCCTTTCATAATTATCACAACTATATTAATCGAAAAAATATAACCGAGACTATAATGATTGATATAATTGTCGAGAAAATTTTTCTGAACCAAATATTTCATTTCAGAATAGGGCTGAATCTTATAGTTGGGAAAAACATTTGATATATTTGAATACTTCATCTAACAAAGAACTGAATCCTCTCAACCCTTTTACAACTATGGTTAGGTGAGTTATCTTAAGCATCGTACTTCTTAAAGCTGTGATCAGACAAGCTATCTTAACCTTGTTCTGAAACTGATAAACCTATACATATTGCGGTAATTGAAAACATATTTTTTAGTGATATTGGAAGTAAGTATAGTCTATGTCAGTCTTATGATAACTCAATGAAACAAATATCTAGTAAGCAAAGGCTTTCCCTATCTAAAATGAACGAAAATAGTCATAAATGTTAGTTTTGTTCTAGAAAGTTTCGCCGAAAAGCGTATCTTACCTCTCATTTGCAGAGATGCTCTGAAAAAAGTTTGATTAAATGTCATAAATGCTCAAAGCAATTTTTTTCAAGGAAAAGATTCATCATGCATTTTATAGCAATGCACAAATATACAAAAAAAATTAAATGTGGTATTTGTTTGCAAGATTTTAACAAAAAATCCTATTTATACAGGCACAATATTTTATTTCATAAAAATGGGGAACTTCATTTGTGTGAAATTTGCCAATGTAATTTTTTTGATGTAAAATTATATTTGAATCATCCATGCAAAAAATGGTGTAATGCGAAATGTATGCAAAATAGGTCTTCAATTGATGCTCATTTTAAAAGTAATAATAACACAAGTAATAAAAAAACTGGTGCTGAAGCTTGTAAGGAAATACTTCAAATTTCAAGAAGAACAGTTAAAGACTCAAACCCATTGCCCTCTTCTGAATCTTGTAACGAAATAGTTAAATTTTCAGGAAGAACAGATTACTTTAATCGAAGAACAGATAAAGACTCAAATCCATTGATCTCTACTGAAGCTTCTAAGGAAGTAACTCAAATTTCAGAAAGTAATTATGTTAATGAAAGAACAGATAAAGACTCAAACCCATTGCTCTCTTCTGAAACTTTTAAAGAAATAGTTCCCATTTCAGGAAGGAATTACATTAATCAAAGAACAGATAAAGGATCGAATCCATTGATCTCTACTGAAGCTTCTAAAGAAATAGTTCAAATTTCAGGAAGTAATTACTTCCATCATAGAACAGACAAAGTTTCAGATCTATTGACCTGTTCAAATGAGAAGTGTATAATTTGTCAAAAAAGCTTTTCTTGCAAACTAGAGCTTGTATGCCACAGTTTCCGCCACAAGCAAACCAATCTTGTTTGTCCAATTTGTATGCAGAAATTTGAAACTATAACAGGCATCAAAACCCATTATTTGAATCATTTTGAAGGAGAGAAACATTTGTGCAGAATTTGTGATAAAATTTTGGACAGTAAAGAGGAGTTGGTTTATCATGGTTTTTGTCATAAACAATCTTTTTGTTCAGTCAAATCCCTTTATGTCTGTCCAGTTTGCATGAAAACTTTTAAAGCTATATCTGACGTCAAAAACCATTATGTGACACATTTTGAAGTTAAAAAATATAAACATGTGTGTAGTATTTGCAAAAAACGATTTTTTCTGAAAACTGACCTTGTTCACCACAGTTTGATTCACACTGAAAACAATCTTAACTGTGGTGTTGTTAAACAAAACTTCAATACGATATTAGACTTGAAAGCATGCCCTTTAAACTGTACTAACGAATTTACTTATGCTGAATCTCATTCTGAACTTAATGATTGTATACATAACGTGGTAATTGAAAACATTGTTTCTTTGAATGGTATCAAAAACAATGTAAGGCAAAGTAAATCTTATTGTATGAGAAAAAATCTGATTAAATGTCATAGATGTTTAAAGCATTTCTCTTCAAGGAAAAAATGCATGTTGCATTTTATTGCAAAACATAAATATGCAAAACCCTTCCAATGTAGGGTGTGTTTACAGAGTTTTAATAAAAAACTCTATTTAAACCGGCATAATTATTTATTCCACAAAAATAGCATTCTTTATTTTTGTGAAACTTGCCAGTGTAATTTTTTCGACGAAAAACTATATTTAAATCATCCTTGTACAGAATGGTGTAGCATGAAATGTACGCAAGACAGTTTTTCTATTTATACTTTTTTTAAAAGCAATAAAAATGCTGATGACCACCCTTGTAGAAACATAGCTAAACTTCCAGAAAATGTAAACAGCTTATCTATTACAAATGCTTCAATTGTGCCTACTCAGTGTTTGAAAAGTGTTGCTAATTTATCTAATATTACTACACAACTTGTTGAGGATATAGAAAATGTGCATAAGTCTCCTACAAATATCCCATCTGTTCCACTTCTACATAAAAACTCAAATGATCAAACTGTTGTGATTCAAGATGCTGTATTCAATTTGCCTATCACAGATTCTCTACCCGTTCCTGTAAAAGAAAACTGTAATAATCAAAGTGTAGACATCAAAAAAATGGTCTGCAAAGTGCCTGTTTTAAATACTTCAGCTGATTGTGTAGATGAGAACTCAAGTAATCAAATTTCTGGTATTCAAACGATTCTATACAATTTGCCTATCACCGATACCCTATCCATTCCTATTTTTGTAAAAGAAAATTCAAGTATGAGAACTGAAGAAAGTGATTACTGCTCGCCTATTACAAATACATTATCTGTCCCAATAGATGAAAGCTCAAATAATCAAAGTGTGGAGATTCAAGAAATTGAGAATAATGTGGATTCAGCATCCTGCTTACAAGAAGAAGCTCATTATTTTTGCTTTGGCTGTAAGAGAAAGTTCACAACAATATCAAACTTCAGAAAGCATATTTGTGAAAAGATTACTACTTATAATATTTATGCTTGTCTTAAATGCAATAAACGATTTCCAATGCTAGGTGACCTCGCAGAACACATATGTATAAAAATAATTGATGAAAAAATACTTGATACGATACATACATCAATGATAAGAATACCAACATGATTGAAGAAGAAGCAGAACAAGATAATAGTAGTCGCATGATTGTTGAAGGAGAAGAACAAGATAAAACTATTAACTTTCTGTGCGAAATTTGTCGAAGAAGTTATGAACTTGAAGAAGATCTGATACTCCATAGCTTCTGTCATATACAAGAAAGACCGTTTCCTTGTCCAGTTTGTAACAGGAAATTTAAAGAAGTAAGAGATTTAAGATATCATTACTTACGAGAAATGAAATCAAATCTTATCAAAGATAAGAATGCCAACATGGTTGTTGAAGAAGACACAGAACAAGATAATAGTTGTCACATGATTGTTGCAGGAGAAGAACAAGATAAAATTATTAACTTTCTGTGCGAAATTTGTCAAAGAAGTTATGAACTTGAAGACGATCTAATACTTCATAGCTTCTGTCATTTACAAGAAAGACCGTTTCCGTGTCCAGTTTGTAACAAGAAATTTAAAGAAGCAAGAGATTTAAAATATCATTATTTACGAGAAAGACATGGGCATGAAGACGATGTGCTATGCAATGTATGCTTTAAAGTGTTTTCGCTCAAAAAATATATGTTGTATCACTACCACATTCATAAGGAAATGCCTTTTGATTGTATTGGTTGTAAGAAAAAGTTTAGGACCACGAAAGATTTGAATGACCATATCTGTTTGAAAAGAATACCTTTTGACTGTAATGGTTGCGAGAAAAAGTTTTGGACAACGAAAGATTTGAATAACCATATCTGTCAGAAAAGAATATCCTTTGACTGTAATGGCTGCGAGAAAAAGTTTAGGATCACGAAAGATTTGAATGACCATATCTGTCAGAAAAGAATATCTTTTGACTGTAATGATTGCAAGAAAAAGTTTAGGACTAAGAGAGATTTGAGTGACCATGTCTGTAAAAAAAGAATACCTTTTGACTGTAATAGTTGCGAGAAAAAGTTTAGGACCACGAAAGATTTGAATGACCATATCTGTCAGAAAAGAATATCTTTTGACTGTAATGATTGCAAGAAAAAGTTTAGGACTAAGAGAGATTTGAGTGACCACATCTGTCAAAAACGAATACCTTTTGACTGTAATGATTGCGAGAAAAAGTTTAGGACCACGAAAGATTTGAATGACCATATCTGTCAGGAAAGAATATCTTTTGACTGTAATGGTTGCAAGAAAAAGTTTAGGACTAAGAGAGCATTGAGTGATCATATCTGTCAGAAAAGAATGCCTTTTAACTAATGGTTGCGAGAAAAAGTTTAGGGCTAAGACAGATTTGAGTGACCATATATCTGTCAGAAAAGAATGCCTTTTGACTGTAATGGTTGCGAGAAAAAGTTTAGGACTAAGAGAGATTTGAGTAACCATCCCTGTCAAGAAGAAATTAGTAAAACAGTATATTCCTGTTCACAATGTAAAGGAAATTTTGAAGATGACTTAAATCTAAAAAAGCATAAGTGTAGTGCAGAGGAAATAGACTTTGGTACTTGCTCAAAAAATGTTGCTGTTCAAGGTGTAATATTAGGAAGAAATGCTAATTATTGCATTTATTGTGAATGTTATTGTTTAGAGTTAGAACACCATGTTTGCCCAAAGAAGAATATAGCAAAAACTCTAAATGCACGTTCGGAAATTAACAACTTTCATCCTAAAGTTAACAAAGCATTGTGTTTTTTCAATGAAAAGTGTAAGAATTGTGATAAGATCTTTAATAATGAACCGAAACTTGTTTATCATAGTTTTAGTCACGAAAAATTAAATTTTGTTTGTCCTATTTGTGAGCAGAAATTCAGAACTTCGTCAGCCATCAAAATCCACTATTTGAAACATTTTGGTGGAAAAAAACATTTGTGCAGTATTTGTGAAAGATGTTTGATAGTAAATAGGAGCTTGTATATCATAGTTTTTGTCATAAGCAATCCTTTTGTAGAGTCCTATCTCTTTTTGTTTGCCCAGTTTGAAACCAAGCATTTAGAACCATATTGCAAATCAGAAAACATTATATGACACATCTTAATGTTAAGAAATACATCTGCAGCATTTGCAATAAAAGATTTTATCTAAAAAGCAATCTTATTCGTCACAGTTTAAACCGTAACGAAAAAGTTTTAAATTGCGATGCTTGCAAAAAGTTTTTTAAGACAATGTTTGACTTGGAAACACATACATGCAAAAAAGTCACTTCTTCACATTGTCTTAGAAGTATGTCCATTATCGGTAAACCAACTCAGACTGCCGAGATAAACAAACTACAAATGTGCAAGTAAGCAAAAGAACTTTCAAAGAAGGTCATGTACAAAATCAAGTCAATAACAGAAAACTGCGCAAATGTGATCCTTGTGAGTTGACTGTTATTGGTAAAGAACCCCTAATTAAACACAAAAAAATTACATGATAATAAAATTTTAAATAATCATGTAAGAAAAAGCAAAACAGTTTGTAATGATCCAAGAAAGCATGCTGGATATCAAAACTGCTTTGAAGGTAAAAGATGATTCAAATGTGAAGTTTGTGATTTATTCGTTATGGGTATAGCAGCCCTTGGTGAACACAGAATGATGCACCAAAATGAAAATGAAAGCAACCAATTGAAAATGAGTGAAACAATTTGTAATAAAGAAGATGATATAAAAAAAAAGCAAAATAAATGTAAAATACAACTCAAAAAGAAGAAATATTTGCGGAATTATGAATGTAAAAAGATTCTAACTGAAAATATAGTTATGTCTGTAATGTTTGTGATAAGGGTTTTAATGATTATGAAGAATTCCTGTGTCATATTTATATATCACATGAAAAAAAGATTCTTAGTTGTCGTAAATGCAGAAAAAGTTTCAGTACAATTGTTTGCTTCAAAATTCATAAATTTAATCAAAGATATGAAATCTTTAAAAAGTATACACGAGTCAGGCAACCAGAGACTTTGTGAATTGTGTAACAAAAAGTTTTTTACAAACCGCGATCTCCATACATATTATCATAGGATACACCCCGAAAGCTCGTATGTGTGTAAAAAGGTTTGAAATATTACGAGTAAAAATGTTTACTTTTATGCTATGTATCAAGACCACTTTTTCTAATTTGTAATTTTTTTTATATATTTTTTTTCGTGAACTTTAATTTTGTTTTGACAGGTGGAATTCTATACTATTGTGTTGAAAAATATTTATTCAAGAAAATAGTCTTCCAGACAGTTGTTTAAATTATTAAATGTCCCCTAATTATCATCACATTATGATAATTAGGGAAGATGATTAAGTAACATTAATCAATTCTCAAAAAATATTAAATTTTATTACTATGAAATTGTGCAATATTTTGCGCTAATTGATTGTATTTTTACTGTTATTTTTAAAAATTGACTTTATTTTATTATTAAATGTACTTTATGATGTAAAAATAAGTTAATAAGTGTGCTTGTCTTTGTTACAGGCGTGAGGATATTCAGCGAATTTGAGATTTTTTCTGCGTTTCATAATTTTACTTTTTTTTTATTTGGTCATTTCTCTTTTTTCTCTCTTTTTTTTGGTTTTATTTATGAAAGTGTTAAAAAATAACTACATGCCGAAAATTTTTTTTGATGCACGTTTTCTTGCCACTTCACTACCTCCGTTTTTCGTATTTATATTAATAGTTTTCTTTTTTTATTTATTTAACAATTTAATTGAAATTTTGTTACCATACTTCCTTTATTCTAAGGTATATTTAAAAAATTTTAAAATTTATATTTTTTTGAACAGGCGATCTATTAGTGATATGGTCGAAATTTTGGTTTAAAGTTTAAAAGATTTACTGTGAATTAGCATAGTTATATAATACTAAATTTGATAATTTTTCTTCCCATGAAGTAGCATTTAAAGCAAAAACATTCTTGCTTAATAAATATGCTTTCTTCAAAATAGTCATTTAATTTAATTTTTCGAACATTCTTTTCCTATTTTTCTTCTCTTTTGCTGTCTCATGCCTAATTTTGTTGTGTATGTGTAAAAACGCAAAATGTAAGAAAAAAAAAAGACTGATTAATTTAAAAATTAATTGAAAAAAAAAAAAGATATTGAGCATGTTGCACTTTGTTTAGATGACCAGATAATTGTCACTCAATTTCAAAATTACTTACAAAGTTTTCCAACAGATGGCTGAGGGGATTGAGAAAACTGTGTAACAAGCACTGTATGTGAGACCATTTTAACTAAAAATATTTGCACAAGCTAAATTTAGCTTTATCATATGCCTTGCAGTTGTTGCAAATAGTAGTTATTTAAGAAGCATTTTCATTTCCCAACCTGCAGCGCCATCTGTTGATAAACTTTGTCTATTGCTTGTATATAAATTTTGAAACTTTGTGAAAATAGACATGTGATTTTCTCATCAAAATACTACAAACTGTACATATATAACTGTATATTATCTCTTAAATTGATTTCTCAAACCATTGGTAATTTTTGTCTTACCTGGTTTATGTTAATATATTCAGTGCCAAATATTAATTGCATAAATACACAGAAGTGCAGCTACATGTGATAAAAAAGCAATGCCTCTATATGCTTGATGTATAATTTTTTTAGGTTATCTTTAACCCTTCACATGCTATGGGCCTGTTTTAACGGACAATTAACGGCTGTTAATCTATCAACAGTTGAATTTTCAATTGATTCAATTCGTAATTTCCACATGACTTCATTATTATTTATTTCAAAATAATTCTACTTTTAATATTTTTAAAAAAAAATTCAGAAAATTAAACTACAATAAAAAATGTTAGAATCTTATAGAATAATGAAATAGAATTCATGATATTTACAAACTTATATAGCATTCCTACTGATGTGCTTTTAAAAACACATATCAAACTCTTAATTTCTAGATTTTATGTGAATTATTATTTTTATGAAAAAATGACAAAAAATATTGCTGGTGCAGCTTTTGGAAAATATTTCATATTGAAATGAAAAGTTTGCTTTCAAAACATTCGACTTTTACTCAAAATCGATTATTTATCGCAAAAAGATGAGCAAAGAACATCTCCTCTCTTCTCTTAAGATAATAACCAAGAAAACTTTTTAATTAGTTTTCGGGCGATACTATCAAAACAATTCCGAGCGGGCTTCAGCTTAGTGTTGAGGAACTGACCCAATGTATTGTATATTTAAATGTATGTAGTTAATAGGATAACTTTTATACTGGATGTATATTTTTAATACTTATAAATAAATCTAGTTTCTTACAACTGTTGTTTTTATAGTAGGAAAAGTAATGTCTGCAAACCGTTGGTCAAATGGAAGCCTTGAATGGTCAATGTGTGTTCTCCTACCTTGCAACCAAAAATTAATAAGAAATAACTACATAAATATCTAAAGAAATTGTATTCATTAATAATTTTTGAACTAATTTCAATTAACTTTAAAATATGCAGAAATTAAAATTAGTGATGTATTGTGTACTCTGACGTATTTTCATTGCCTGGTTATTACCCTGACCTACCTAATAAATTTCAGAACCGATTATCAATTCTATATAACCCGATATCAATTCTATATAATAATTTATTTCTGGTAACTTTATTATAAATTTATGAATTTTATAACTTTAATCACTATTTGTTAATAAACTTTCTATAAACATATATCCATATAATTCATTGTTATTTCTTACAGGAAATAACAATGGTAACAAAGGCAAATTTATCACACCAAACTATGAATGTGACTATTGCAGACATTGTCACGACTGTACAGCATATAATAATATAAGGCCCCATAATTTTCTTTCTGAGTTTTTTAACTGACCTTGAATTATTAAATTAAACATTTCAAACTCTAAAAATGTAAAGGAAAAAAAATTATCAATACAGTTTATATGTATTTTTTAGCCTTTTAATATTTATTTTAGTTACTGACATAATTCAAATATTTAACTCTTTGTTATTCCATATTGAGATTGTGCTCTTTTTTTTTAATCTTAAAAAATAAATAAAGGGTAACTGTGGAACTAAATTTTATAACTATGCCAACCGGACTGGGTAGGGATCAGGGAACTGGCCTTGCATCACAAACATTCTGGGTTCGAATTCCGGGCAAGGCCTGGATGTTCTTTCATTCTCTGTACTATCTTTCCTTACTGAGGGAGCAGCGTTGGCGCAACCAATAAGGTGCCTTTGAAATAGTGGCCGACAAATTTGTCCTGTGAATGCCGGAATTAGCAAAATGTTAACACAGGTGGGCATTGAAAATGATAACTAAAAAATAAAATTATAACTATTATTAAAACTAAAATAAATGCTCTTGAATTGGAAGATATCTTACTTTAGAAAGTGGTTTAAGTAAGTAAACCGATACTCCATTGTGGACTATTCAAAAGGAAGGATTACTTTTCACTTGGACATCAATTTCATTTCTTCTCTGTCACTTATGGACTGTAACTCAATAGTGCCTTATAAATGCAAAACAACTATGGGATCTTACTACTAAACCGGTAAGACATTTGATAACTTAATTTTATTTAAAGTTTTTCTATAATGATTTTGTTCCAAAGCTATAATCATTCATCAATTTTATACATTATTGAAAGTATGACCCAATCAATTACATACATGAATATTTTGTTAACTGTAACAGTTATTGATTTCAATTATAACTTTTAAACTACTTAAGTCAGGAAATTTAATTTAATAATTTAAACAATTCGAAGTCATAATCTGAGTCATAAATCATGTTAATGCTATTTTTATTTTTAGATGTACTCAATACCTACTTTTTTGAAAGCAAAATAATTTGCATTCTGTAATTCGTAGTCACCTGGACAAAGCCACTCTGTAGGGTGTTTTATAAAGTTCACTATTAATAAGTATCTTTAGAATTCGTTTTAAGAATGAAAACAAGAAAGTATACTATATATATATTAAGAAGGGGGCACAAATCAATATTTAAGCTAGGAAAAAAAACATATACGCTCTCAAAATCTGACAAATTACAGTACAGGAGGATGAGTGTGATAAATAACAAGACAGGTTTCATTGTGGGAGGAGACAGAAGAATGGAAAGACTATATTATCGTAAACACCTTTAAGGTTTAACCTGTTTATTACATTCGCTTCCTCTACTATAATAAGTCAAATTTCGATATCCTTTTTGTATTTTGCTTGTTTAAATATTAATCTGCTTCCTCCAATGTGTGTACTTTATTGTTTTAAATTTTTATGAGGATATTAAGAGTGGTTTTTACAGAACACCCTGCATTTCCATATTAATTTCTTCTTAAACAATTTAAATAATTGCAAATTTAAAAGCTGACAACTTGACATTTGCTGTTGGGTAGAACTGGCGCAAATTTAAAAAAAAATCTCTTATTTTCTTATGTTAGTAAAGGAAAAACTAATTCTGATCTAAAATCCTTTTTTTTTTTTCTTTTCTTCATGTAGTGTAACAAGTTGCAACTAACAATTTTCCAAAGTAAGAAAAACAGCAACAAGAATTATTTATTAAGACAAACAATGGACAACAAATATTTAATAATTGTTCACATAAAAGCTATTATAACATTCGCAATTTTTGTACTTAACAATATAGTCTGGTTTAATGAATTATAATAGTTTATAATATAATTTAAAACAAACACAAAATAATAATATCACTCACAGCACAGTCATTTTTTTAAATTTAATTTATCTCGACGAATTGAACTTTCAAAACTTGCCTACCTTTTTAATCACTTTGTTAGGAAGTTCAAAAAATTAACGTTTAAGAAAATAAGGATAAAAACTTCAATATACATCAAGTATGCAAAGCTTAACTATCAAAGAAACAACGTCATGAGTTTGTCATGTTTTAACAAGTCAAAATCAATAGGATTTAACAATTATTGAATAAATTTTCAATATTTATTAACCACAATTTGCAGAGTTTCACACGAAAAGTTTGTTTGATAATAACCATACTTCAATTTAGGTTAATGCATTTGAATTAAGAATATAAAATACATGAAATATTTATCTGCTAATTGTAAAATAGCAATATAAAATTTGGCTGTTTTTTCTTCAATTAAAAAAAAGTGAGGCTATATTATGTACACTTAGCATTATATGAGTTTAGCATTTTGATGATATTCTAAATTATAATAAGTTTTTTCTCCCACACTAATGGGAATATGGGCGTTGCAGGCATCTAATTTTTGAGAAAGACGAAATTAAAATACCTTAATTTCACACGTTAAGAAAAAATTCTTATGTCTGCTAAATATTTGCAGAAAGATTATTTTTCTCATTCTCGTTATTAACTTTAATGAAGTAAAATCCGAAATTTTATTTATTTTTCTAAATATTGATAGTGTTTTTTTTTTTTTTTATCTTTCTTTTTAGTAAATTCTATATACCCACTGTTCACCCACCAACAACGCCCATAAATAACATAGCTGCCAACTCTACTGAATTTCCCAGTAGACTACTGGATTTTGCCAGTTTCTCCTGGTCTACTGGTTTAATTAAAATTTTCCTGGTTTTTGTACATTTTAGAAAATTCCCCCAAAAAATCCCTTTTGAAATAGAATTTTTTTAAAGGATTATTGCTTTCTTGAATATTTAATTAAGTTAAAAATCAGTTCAAAACGTTTTTTGTTATGAAATGTTTAGTTTATTTTTATTCAGAAATCTCTTTTTAAATTAATTAAAAAAAAAATCTTTTAACTATCTTTGATGAATTAAATTCCTGTTAATATTCGAAATTATGAGAAAACATAACACATCAAGTATGTTTAATGTCAATCATAACTGGAAAATATTGCAGTTTTTCTATTTTGATTATTATAAAAATCCCTATGTGTAATTATTTAGTACATTATGCAACAATTATCTTAAAATTGATATTATTTCGTTAAATCTACAGGATTTTTTCCTATCCATGTTGGCAGCTATGTTTTAGATATCCAAAACTGGCAGTGTCCTTTACATTTGCTTAGTACCTTCCTATTTTATAGTAAAGTTTCAAATTGTTTTCGTAAACTGTAATTATCACAAAAACAAAATACTCGAATCATAATAAATTTTGAAGCATGTTTGGCGCCAAACAAACTTCTCTTTGACTTAAAGACCTTTCAAGTAGTACATTTGTGACTATAAGCCACGTGACTTTCGATGCCAAATAAGCATTATTTGGGTTGATCAGAGATCTAACTGTGACGTAAGATTTATTCCGTAACGCATTCTTCCTCCAGAAATTTCGGATGAATCTTAGAGATAGGACTCGGAGAACTCGAAGTCGGATCTAGATCCTCTGGAGCTGCGAGCCATGGATGTACCCGTGATGAATCCAGAGTCCGAGGTCGGATCAATCATTATGTTGTCCTTGGGGGCCAACATGACGCCATCCGTGTACTGTCCCGGAATCGTGATTCGAACCCTGTCCCCGCATCCGACAGTTGAGGCTACCTGGAGGTTTCTCAAAGCATTCCTCTCCTGCAGAGCCTGTGTCACCAGTCTCATTTGTTCTTCTCGCTGCAAAAATAATTCTCACAGTCAGTTCATTTCATAGTGGTCTACATTCTAAATGGAAAAAAAAAATAACGAATATTACAAAATGCTTCATCAGTGGTAGAGGAAAAAGTATCCAGCACTTTTAAACAGATTAATTTATTCTACTTTTTCCTTTGTTTTTCTATTTAACCAGGGTCCCGTAGTGGACTGATCGTAAAGACATGTTTCCCAGTAAAACACCGAAGTCAGACATCACTGGCTGCGGGTGGGTGACCACTTTGATCAGCCTGCATAGGGACCTAGGCTGCGCGGTATCGGTCCTGGTCAAACTGTTCTGTCGTAAAGTGCCCGACTTTGCACGCCGGTTGTCTGCCTACCAAAGCAGGGGAGCCATCGCCTCTGCAGAGGATCAAAATTGCGATGGCATGTCTTCGGATCATCCTCTGGGATGTTTCCTAGACCGTCTGCAATAACCCATAGTGTAGCTCTAGTGCGACTACCATTTAACCATGACCAAGAGCTTAAAATCTCTTCTGCCGCTACTGTCGATTTTTAGAATTTTTGACGATTGATCGATGTTGCTTAGTTCAAATAGTTTATAGTTTCATATGGTGATATCTTCGATATACTTACTGATCTTCAATATTCGAGAATTTGATCATTTTGGAGGAGAACGTTTATTGGCCTGGGTTGGTTCTTGTTGAATGGTTGACCATCCCTCCATGCCTTTGAAAGAGACACTTTGACTGCTTTAAGGTGAATTAAATCTTGCAGCCCTGTTTCTCAGGGAAGCAGTGGGTTTTGATTTTATTTTTAATAGATCTTAACGCTCTGCCACACATTTAGTTAATGATTCTCTGGAAAGTGAAAATATTTATTAGATGGATTGGCCAAATAGTTCCCTCAACCGCTCAGGGAAAGGCAATAGTAACTTGCAACCCCTTTTTAAAAACCACATTTATTGCCGAGCTTGTCACTGGAATTTCTATCTGATTTCATGTATGAAATCGCTCTGTAAAGACTTAAATAACTGTAAGAGAGGGAAATCAACCTATTTTAGTTCGATTCTGTGAGCACCGCGTCATACCTTGCGACTTTGATGAATGTTATGCACGATCATGTGAATGTGTATAAAAACTGTTATTTGTTATTAGATTTGTATTATATCAATCTCATTGAGGGGCGAGAGCTCTATTCACTGAGCTACCGCCCTGTATATATATTTTTTATAACCGTGGTTGAACAGCCGACCCAAATTTTGTGTTTACGACTTTCGATGTTCAACTCCATAGCCTTGTAATTTTGAACTCAATCCAGAAGGCAACTCCTGGATCAATTATTTGGAGAAATTTGCCTTCGTAGAAGACTTTTCATTTTAACAAACCGGCATTTGCGTTACGGGGAGAGGAGACCCACTAAAACCTCTTACGGTTACCCTGACAGCAAGGGGACTCTAACCCACGATCCGTCCACCACTGAGGATATTTTTACGTCAGCACTATGGTCGGTACGAGCCGTGTGCGGAATTCAAATTCTAGTCATTGTTGGGATTTGAACCCGAATCACCTCATTGGGAGGCAAGTGCTCTATCCCCTGAAACACCACGGCTCAAACCTATATATTGTATATTCTGAACATGCGGTTTGTTCGAAGTGCTAAAGCAAGTGATTGTGAAAAGGGGAATGATGAGGGGGCCCTTGATGATCGCCAACTTACATGCAATATTAGCCCGATATAATTGTGTGGCCTAGGTTACCTCCGATATTTGGCGACGCAATTCCTCGTTTTCGCGCTGAAGTCTTAATTGTCTGTCTTCTTCTTCTCTACTCGTGATGGTGTCTGTAAGAGTTCTGGCATCGATCCTTTCTCTCGGTCGGCGAATTAATTCTGTTACCTACAGAAAAAGAAACAGTTTTCAATAAAAAATATTTCTTTATTGTACATTTATTTTGTGTCACATTATTTTATTTTGTAACCTACGTTGGACAACCGATTCAGATTGAATTTTCGGTAATGCCAATGTTTAACTCCATTGCTTTGTAGTTTTGAACTCAAACCAGAAGATAATTAGAGAATATTTGAAGTAAGCATTGGAACGTACTTCCCTTTGTGGAGGATGTTTGTTTGTTGCTTTAGCTTGTATGTTTTATGTTTTGTTTGCAGGGTGTTTTTGCTGTTTTGCTTAAGGTTTGCTGTTTTTGTATTTTTTTTTCTTCTTCTTCCAATGCCTACCTGGAGAATGACCTAGGTCATACAGATATCTGAAGGGCAGATTTGTTGGCCAATCTTTTAGGGGCACCATATTAGGTGGGCCAACGTTGCTCCCACAGTAAGGACAGATAGTACAGAGAAGGAAAGAACATCCATGCCTTGCCCGGGATCCGAACCCAGAACCTTTTTGATGCAAGGGTAGTTCCCTAACCCCTCTACAGGCGATCGGCCTGCTTTTGTGTGCTGTTTTGTAAAAACGTTTTAATTTTTTAGCGTCTTTCTTTTCAATGAAAAATTTGCCACTATAACAGTGTCTAGGAGGGATTAAAATTGTCTCGAAAAAATTCAACAGAAACTGACATCTGGATCAAGATGCGGGTGGTGGCAGATATTTGGATTTTTACCACAATGAACCTAGATAGCCTCACATGCACAAGTCTTTTGTAGGCTGTAAATTTGAATATTCTCAATATCGGTTGATTTGTGCCGATAAAATATCGGATGTGCCAGACAGTGTTATTTAACCGAAAAACTGGTTGACATTCTATTGCACAAATTTGGCGAAGATTCATGTATATTGATTCTATGACAGCCTAAGTTATATTGCCACTGGCTGAAGTACATAAAAACCCTACAAATAACTATTTATCAAAAAATAACGATAATTAAAATTCGCACGAGGTGCTTTTTCGACGGAAAAAAATAAGAATTAAAAAATAGTGATTAGCATACTATTTTTTAATTCTCATTTGCTATATTTAGTCACCCTATTGCTGGTGGTGACCGTTAATTTTGCCCTATAATACAGGGTTGCCACTCCACAGGGAGAATAGGGAAAATACAGAGAATTTAAAAATCATCTAAAATAACAGGAAAATGAATTTTTCTTTACAAACTGGGAGGAAAAAAAACAGGGAAATTTATTTCTTATTTTTGTTTTTCGAAAATGCAGATCTCTCAAAACACAATTTATGGAAAATGTAAAGATGATAGTGACCTATATTATATCTTTCATTTATTATGGCATTATTTGTTTTATGTTGATCTGTTCCTTACTTCCCTAAGTTTTCCCTAGCAACTAAAACTAGCATCGTTATCCTAATATAGCTCACAAGAGCGCAGTAAATGCGCTTCCTCTAAATATATTGCGTATAATATGTTCAGGAAAAACACACGGAATTTTTTCCCCCATATATGAATGGCAACCCTATAATAGCCCCATGATCAAACACTATCTAGTTTTACATTTGTGGGGAGAGTAGCTTTCGACCATGCCAAATTTCATCGATGAAAAGGTACCCCAACATAGATTCGAGTTTGAACTTGAACAGGTGGTTTGACGAAGTACCTGCCCACGAAGCGGGCATCTCACTTCTTCATCTAAATGGGCTCTAAGGCGACGGTGACTATTGGCTTTAGAAATAGTAGTAATTCCACAGATGATGATCTGTGGTCGTCTTCTTTGGCAGTGTCTCCTCGTCTAAGTCTTGGTTGGTGGGAGGAGGGACTGGATCAGGGAAACTAATTCCGTATCTTTCATGAGTTCCTGAAGTTCTCTCACGATGTGAGTAAATCTGGCTACTGGGTTGGCAGGAGTTCGATGTTGTTGTCTCTTCCTGGGTGCGAGCTTTCTCTTTGGCCTGGCTGGACAACCTGTGAAACAGGCTGGTTGGTCTTTCTTGCAGTTCACGCATGATGGTGGCTCGTTCAGGGGTTTCGTGCATTTGTAGGTGTAATGCGCACCAGCGCATTTCATACACGCCGGCTCATCGGTGCATTTGCTCTGCGTATGGCCGAAGCCTTGACACCTATAGAATTGAATTTCGTGGCGGCCGCCACGAAATCTTTCCACTCTGACTGGTGTGTTCAGCAATCGGTTGATTCTGTAGATTTCCCGGTGTTTAGGATCATCGGGCAGGATAAGCAGGTAGAGTGGGAGGAGCTTGTAGTCTTGGCCACGCCTCTTCCTCATCTGTTCGGTTTTGATTGGCCGTAGCTCTAAGTCTGTGAGTTCTTTTTCGAGATCGGGGATTTCGATGTCTGTGCTAAGACCTCGGACGAGGGCTTTCAAATTTCTACGGGTGGGTTGTAGAACTTCCATCGGCTCGCTTTTTTCTACTGGAGTCTCGATGTCAATCGGGGCAGCAGTACTGATAGGATCTGAAGAATCTTTCACTGTGGGTGTGGAGGCGATCTTTTTCTCCGGGCGGGGGGGTTCGCTATCTGATTCTGGTTCCGTGCATTTTTGTGCCGCCGTGTTGACACTGCACTTCTTTCTTTTCTTCTTCTCTTTACTAGGTTTAGAAGTAGAAGTGGTGGAGTCAGTCTCTGGGAGATTCGAGTTAACATGTCTTATATACTAGTGAAGTGTAGTTGTAATTTAGTAGTGGTAGATAAGCTACAGTACTCCCCCCCAGAATTATATCTGTGACAGAATTCGATGAATGGATACCACTAGTTGAATCATTGCTGTTTTTGTGCGAAGTCGGGGGTGCTGTATTAAGATCACCGTACTATTTGAGTGCTGAATGTGAGAGGTGTATTAACTTTACGGTCGTAGTCGCTCCTGTGTTGCCTTTAGCAGTCGAGTGTATGCAAGCCAGCGTTGTGGGTGATCGAGACGAGACTGAGTAGCAACAGTGCGAGGAGGTGGATAAAGTCGCAGTCACAAGTAGCAAGTCAACTGTTCAACGTGGACCATCCATCGAAGTGGGCGTTACTGTCACGATAGACATGTTCATATCGAGGTGGGCGTTACTGTCCAGGTAGGCGTGTTCACAACGCGTCCGGAGGTCACCAATGTAGGGATAGTAGTTACAGACAGTGTCAACCGTCATCTATGAAAAGGTACCACAACCAGTGCCGTTCCTGGCGGGTATACAGCGAATGCCCCGCACGCAGGCGCCCAATTTAAGGGGCGCCAAATTCAACTATTCGAAAAAAAATCAAATTATAGCAAAGCTGTAAACTTTGATTACAGGAAGAAACAGTAAACTAATATAAGAAGTAACTTCTACACTTTGCTTCTACACTGGAATTTATGACCTACATTGTACGTTAATAGTCTATTTTATTTGATGTCGAAAATAAATTTTTTGTCATATTTTTTCGTTGTTTTATTTTATTACGCCCATTTTCATAATCAAACACTTACACTAAAGTGACTTTAGTCTATAAGGAAACTATTCAGTTTAAACCTCAAACTAAAAATGATTATGAAAATTGGCCTTATCAAAATTTAAGCATAGTATTTTGGGGCGCACAAAATTATTCTTGCACGCAGGCGTTTGCCACCCCAGGAACGGCACTGACCACAACATAGATTCGAGTTAATATGTCTTATATGCTAGTGAATTGTAGTTGTAATTTAGTAGTGGTAGATACGCTACACATTCTCCTATTACTAGCGATGTATAGAAATGAATGTTTTACGTACCTTAGGGATGAAGATAAGTGCCATAGATAAGAAAGAGCAAACAATTATAGCAAGAGCCACAAATGCAAATGTTGCGTCTGCCTGACTGTTAATCACGAGTGTCACTGGAGCTGTGATAAGACAGAGGACCTGAAACGAACAAGACAAGCCTGTGTGTGTATTCACACATACAACAGAAACAATCAGTATTGCACTGTTAAGGGATTCTAATTACCACAACGTTGTAAATGCTCATTCCAACTAGCCTGGAATCATTTAGGTGTTTGATTTTGACGCTGCGAGTCTCGTATGCCAAGAAAATTCCAAAAATGAGAAGGAGTCCCTTATATCCAAAAATGATCCCTGAAAGAGATTTTTTTTTTTTTAATTTTTAGACAATAGTTTTCTAATGTTTATTGAAGTGCCTGTGTTTAATAGAGATTTTTTACGACAGTCTGCAATTGGCTGTGAGCCAAAATTTGCTGAAAAGAAATGAAACTAATATTTCTTCGTAGTCTTAACCGGTCATTAAACAAATCAAAAAGTATCTATCCTACGTAAACATAATTTTTGAAAACCTTAGATTTTGTGAAATAATTAGCTTTTAAAAACTAAGACAGTCGGTACTTTTATCAAGTTGTTTATGCTATTATATGCTAAATATAGGTAATTTTTTCAATAAAGCGCTAGTTTGTTTGCCAAGAAGTTATGTCTTACAGACAGTTTTATGAACGAAATTTATAAAATTTATTTTAAAATTTCAAGCACTGAAACTATAATTTACTCAAAATGGTGTGTTCTTAGGGTAATAAAAAATGAAACATTAGTTAGATATTAAACGAAGGCTCTTTCGTTTAAAGAAATAAAATGCTTTTTTGCAATGATGTTTTTTTCTTGATATTTGCTGTATGTTTGCAATAATTATTAATGACTGTCCGGTCAAATTTAGCCTATCTTTGAACAGTGCCCTCTATGGTAATTGTGAAAATGTCATTATAAAGAAAAGCGACAGTTATTGGTAAATGAAAAGGTGTTGTGATATAATTTTTAAATATTTAAAAAAAAATTACTCCGTTACATTATCTGGGTTTTTAAAAATTTGCCGAAATTGAGAATTATTCATTGATTTTTATCTCGGTGGAAAAGTCTTACTAAATTAGAGATTTTTAAAAACGTTTAATAACTTTTAAAATGTTTAAGTTATTTGTCCGTTCTAATGCTTAGAAAATTCTTTACGACGAAATTGCATAAATAGTTTAAATTTATAGCTTAGCCTTAAGTGTAAGGTATTAAAATGTGGAATTTTCCTGCTTTTTGGCGAAAGAGTTAATATGATTTTGTCCCTAAGTGGGGAAAAAAGAAAAAATTTAGAGGAACTATCTTTGTTATCTTGGCGCGACTTGTCGTGACTCTCTAATTATGTTAGATACAGCGATTCTAGTATAAATAGCTTTGTAATTAAGTTAAAATTTTTTCTGAAATATCGTCTTTTCACTGTTGTTCATTACCTAAACCCAAGGCAACCTTTCTAAAATTTTGCGGATTCTAAAATTTCGCGGAATTGGCGGACATGGTTTTGAAGCAACAGGGATGTGAGCAATTTTTAATAATCGATGCTTTTCACTAGATCAAAGCATTTCAGGAAAAATTGTTATTTGAAACGTAATTGGGTACTTGCCACTTGAAAAGAGGCTTAGCGCAGTTTTTCAAAACTCTGCCGCCAAGGAAAATAAAAAAGCCATGGTTTGCCTTACACTTAAAGCAATGCTGTGATTTTAAACTATATATATAGTCTTGTAGTAAAGAATTATCTGGGCTTTAGAACAGGCAAATAACTTAAATATTTTAAAAATATTAAACTTTTTTAAAAATCGTCTATTTGGCGACATTTTTCCACCTAGAGAAGAAAATTATCAAAATCACTGCGATATTCTCCAGTTTTTCCTAATTTTTATAACCCCAGGTAATGCAGCATCGGAGTAAGTTTTTAAACATTAAAAAATTAGACCACAAACGCTTTTCATTTTCACAAAATTGTGGCTTTTCTCCATGTTGACGTTTTGCGCCATTTTCAAAATAAACGTAAGCAGCGCTGGCTTTAGATAGGCTAAACTTGACCTAACAGTCATGAGTTTTAAAAATAGTATATTATTCGCAACAAAACCTTCATTTCATATTGGCGATCGAAATGGGGTACAGGTGGCGTAGAGCGAGCTGAACTTTCTACCTATGGCAACACTTCGCATGCTTTCACCATCAGCGTGTGGAGAGTCATAGAAGAAGGAAAACGTTAGTTCGTGTCTTGATTTTCAAATAGATTAAAATCTCTTAAGTTAGGAAACTATATGGAACTGAAAACTGCATTAAACGTAGTTCTGAAAGAAAGTACGGCAATTGAAAAAAAATACTTTTAACAATTGAATACGAAAAATATTAGAGAAAGGGAAAAATATCATTGTATATTTCTATACAATGATATTTTCATTTCAATTTGATATTCTTCCAGATGGTGTATTCGAACATTGCGATCACCTATTACGATAGAGCCTTTGAAAAACAGCCTTCACCATGTGAATTGAACCAATTTATTTGCATACTTCGAAGCGACGTCACGCGTGTGTGACGAACCTGATTGGCTTCAGAATCGATAAATGCCACGATGTACCTACGATGACGTCACTTGCAGGTATCCAATTGGAAAGTGAATATACTGCTTACTTACCAAGCCATATAGCGTTGTTGACTGATTCACAATGTTCAAGTTGTGGTTCAATTTTTATGTCCTCAATGCTTTCAGGGTCCTCCAAGGGGAAAATATCAATCTTTCTCTGCAATGGATCTATCAGTTGCCAGGCTGTAAGTATCAGTACGTCAATGATGACAAGCACACCAATCATAATGTACAATTTCCAACTGTACACGAACTGTAACAGAACATCGATTAAAATTAACCTTCATAACTGTATCACTTATGTATAATTGGATAGTAAAGGAAGATAATTTTAAGTAATTTATAGTAATAGCATTTCAAATTTAAAAAAAAAAAAAATAGACTAATGAAACCTTCACCTTCTAGACTTAACCGACTAAACAAAATGTTCAAAAATAATCAATTTAAACAAAAAAAATATTAGTGGTAGAGCGTTAGAGTTACAAATTAAGTCTGAACTAGTATTTCGTATGGTTGCGATAATAAAATGGGTGCATTGGCGTAACGTAGCATTCTTTCATCAAACTGTAGGTTAGTCTTATATCCAGATAAGTACTTTAGAAGTGTTAAGGGAACATGTTGTTGTATACATGGAAATTATAGTGTTATTCGACAAAAAAGGCACATCTGTAGAATTTGAAATTTTGACTTTATTATGTTAAGGCAAATCATTAATTTCTCCGCTGGTGTAAAATTATTAGAGTAAATTTAAAAAAAAATATTTTCATAAATTAAAACTTCAGTATACTCACTTATTTATTAAATAAAATAGAAGTTTTAAAAACTACCTTTTTTAAGCAGTCTAAAAAGGAGAAAATAATATTTTGTTACACGAGATATATGGGATCCTAAAGATATTTGAGAAATTTAGGTAGTCATAGTAGATAATTATCAAAATGATTCACCCTACCTTTTTCGTTTTAAATCTGAACACAGCCTCCCCCCATTTTTTTTTCCTTTTTAGTTTACCCGAAAAACGTAGTATTTGAATCTTTTATTATACGAGGGTTGTAAATTAAATAGTGGCAACTTAACCTTGAAACTCACAGAAGGGCGGGCATGTGCAAATAGGATATGGGAACGGTGAGGTAGCACTGTTGTCGATGTGTAGAGTGCAAAAAACAGTCGTTCTGCTTAGAAGGGTAGATGTTGTGTGGCGTTAAAGTGAGGAGTTTCGTTTCCATCGCTCTAAAGCATGTTTTCAAAAGGCTTAATGACGAAAAAGACGAAATGCTTGAACCCATCGTGCTACTGTCGAATACGATAAAGCATTTGCCCCACAGGCTTCCACTAATCCTCGATAGCATTCTGTTGCATTTTTACCAAGGAAACCTCGATTTTAAGCGACGACAGCTGATCACCTTTTGAAAACATGCTTTAGAGCGATAGAAACGAAACTCTTCACTTTAACGCCACACAACAAATATCCTTCCAAGCAGATCGACTGTATTTTGCACTCTACACATCGACAACAGCGCCACCTCACCGTTTCCATATCCTATTTGCGCATGCCCGCCCTTCTGTGAGTTTCAAGGTTAAGTTGCCACTATTTAATTTACAACCCTCGNTACCCGAAAAACGTAGTATTTGAATCTTTTATTATATATATATATATATATATTCGTTTTTAATTCATTAGATTGTTAACTTCAAAAAGTGGGGAAAAAAATTTGTGATAAAATTAGAAGAAAAAATTTGCTCACGTCATTCAAAAAATACTTATAAATTTAACTTGTGTTGGCATTAAACACAGACCTTCAATTGAAATTTATAAACATGAAGAAATTGTTTGAACTTTAATTAACAGACAGTAAATTCTATTTGGATATAAAATAACGATAGATTTTACTTGTTTACATGATTGAAATTAATATTGTTCTTGGTTTTGGAGGTAAAGTAGAAATTTAAGTGGTCTAGCTAGTCAGAAAAGTGGTAAAAGTTTGATTTCTACACTCCATCTTCACAAAGGTGAAATTGAGTTCATAAAAACGGATTGATAAAAAATACTTTTCATAAAATCTTTCAAACTATGCAATTATTTTCTTTTAATTCTTTCAAAAGTAATTTTTTAAAAAAAAAAAAAAAGAGTGGATCTGTCTGCTTTTTATGTCAGCTCAATTAATAGTCCATATCAAAGTTAATTATTAATATGTATACAAAATTTACCTTGTGGTCCGATTTTATTTTTGTTGTAAGACGATGCACTCTCCATATCTTTGAAAACATTGCCCCATACGATAGTGTAAAACCAATCGTTAAAAGCCAAGCTCGAATCTAAAATGTAACGAATTTTAGTAAATTATATAGCACACATTACAATATGAAGTACAAGATTCATTTAAAAAAAAACATTACTTATAAAGCATGTTAAGTTTTACAATTTTGTTAAAAAATTTTTTTTTATAAATCCTGAATCGGAATTCGTAGTCTAGTTGCGAATTAGCTCATTCTTAACACCAGAATAAAATATTTTGGAATTTTTAAGGAATAAGTGTGGAAATGTTTAGTTATATTTGAAAAGTTAAAAAAAGGTTTCTTACATTTTGAAATTAAAACACTTGTTAAAGTTAAATATTCCCTACGACTTTACGAAAAAGCTATCAGTTTTTAATAGCATTTTAAATGCTGGTGATATAGTTGTTTTTTAAAATGACGAAAATTTTCAAATATCAAAAGCTGATTTCGTTATGTAATAATTCTGGCTACATTTAAACTAAAAGAGAAAATAATTTATTTGTTTTTTCTTTTTTTTTACGTGCTTGTAGAAACTGGTTTGATTTTGTTTTGTTGTTAAAATTGTTCTTCTGACAATGACTTCAGTAATCAAAAAATATTCCAAAGATCGTACATTCAACGAAATAAATTGCTTACAATAATAATAATAAAATTTAAATTTTGTAATATCACAAAGTTTTAAAAATTCCAAAAACTGCAGGAACAGTTTGAGTTTCACTAATTTATTTTTCCTTAAAAATACACATTTTCAAATAATTATTTAGCAAATATTTAATAGGTTATTAGAATTGACCAGTTTAAAATATTACATAAAATAACTATTATAAGAGTTCGTTGTCTCTACAAAATCACTTAAAGATAAAAAAAGAATCAGGGTTTTTTACTGATTTGTGTAGAATTTTTTCTTCTTTACATACTTTTTTTTGTAGAAATAGCTAATAATTACTAATTATTTTCCGTATAATTATATATTATGAATTATTGTACTAATAAAACTACATTTAAATATTACGATAGTTTACTCATATTTTTAGCTAAAAGTTGGCATAAACTTATAGACTTGGCTTTAATTTACATAAAAGCATCAATGGTGACTTAACTATTACTAAGAACAGATACAATTACAAATTAAAGTCATTAAATGAAATCGAATGATGAAACAAGATGATTATTACATTTAAATATTACGATAGTTTACTCATATTTCAGCTAAAAGTTGGCATAAACTAAACTTATAGACTTAGCTTTAATTAACATAAAAGCATCAATGGTGACTTAACTATTACTAAGAACAGATACAATTACAAATTAAAGTCATTAAATGAAATCAAATGATGAAACAAGATGATTATTTTTTTCAATGCAGTTTTGAACTATTTTAAAATTTTTACCTGACACAAATTACTGAAGCCTTCTTCGCCAACGAATTGCCCGTCTAATCCCAACAGACAAGCGCAGAGAAGACACAGTATTATTCCTATTAACATAATGTTATTGCACATAGGATGGGAAAGAGCTATGTACCTAAAAGAAATTAATTACACTAAATCCCTTGTTTATTTTGCTGAACTGGGCATTATGAACATGGACGTAATAGCTTAAAGGTGAATTCAGAGGTGGATTAATAATCAATATGCTCAAAATTCTTGCAAATCGTAGGGAGGTCCACTTTCAGTGGATCCCCTCTCACGTCAACGTCCCTGGTAACGAAGTTGCGGATATCCTGGCTAAAAGAGGCTGCTCTGAGATGGCAACTACCGACTATGACCTCACTTATCAAGAGATTTTCTCAGTGACGAAAAATAGAGACCGGCAGGTCTGGCTCTCCCCTCCTGCCCATCCCTGGTTCTGTAGGAAAAAACCAGGATGCGCATTGGATCTTGAGGCTGACAGACAGGCTCAAACGGCCGCCTCAAGACTTATCAGTGGGCACCTAAAATGCATGACCTTTGAATGCGGCTGCAAAGTCTTCCCAACGTGCACCAAGTGCCATCTGATGCCGGTCTCCCCCGACCATATCCTCGACTGCTTGGGGCTCGCTCTTGCGGATATCCGTGATAGCCCACTTCTGGTGCTTGATATTGCTAGAGTTCACGGTCTCTTGGATTTGATCTAGTTGTCGCTAGATCCTGAAGGATTGGACACAACAACAGAGGTGGATTAATACATTCTGCAACTCCTGTTTGCAAAGACAGCGGAAGTATCTCAAAAGGAAGGGGAGCTCTCCTCTAGTCTATATATCTATATATATATATATATATATATATTGGATCCGGCTTGTACCGGGTTAGAGCCCCCTTGCCGCCAGGCTAACCGTGGGAGGTTTTCGTAGTTACCCACTCAATGTAAGCCAAATTCTGATTAGTTCCTTTGAAAACTCCTCCCCGAAGGCAAATTTCTCCCAATACTTGATCCAGGAGTTCCCTTGTCTTTTGGATTGGGTTCAAAATTACACGGCTACGGCGTTGAACGTTAGTAGTTATAAACCCAAAAATTTGGTCGGTTGTTCAACGATGGTTATAATTTAAAATAAAATGTTTTGTTAACTTTTCACTAAGCAAAATCAACAAATAAAAATGAACCTCGTGTGATTTAAAATACTTTTTTAATTTACATAAAACTAATTTTAAGCTCAACTATCTTAAAATAATTATGGATCTCAGTTTTATCTAAACCATACGAAAAACATCTACTTTTATTCTAGCGTCTAGACACCAGCGGTTCCCAAATAGTGTTCCTCGGATCCCTTGGGCTTTCGAGCCTTAGGACTTGTTTGTGATATGCAAAACACAGATATTCCAAAACCTATAATGAAAACCCTTCAGGAACATCACTCCTGTTAAGTAACAGGAATTGTCGAGTTGGTAAACCACACACGATTCCAAAAAGATTTATTAAATGATGTATGACAGGAATAGTTGGGTGCGAACTCAAAGAAACTGGAAAGAAAGGTGTTTCTATATTGTTAAATAACTGATTTATAGATCCGTGATTCATATTAAACTATATTACTCGAAGATGGCTCGTGGAATTGGTTTTTTTGACCAATAGTTTCGATAATCTCAAGCTGGAGCTCTGCCAAAAGGAGGAAGATCATTTAGGGCTCCGATATTTGTTTGTATAGTATTGTTCGATACTAATTGAATTGATTTCTATACTGGTCGGTTTGATAACAAATGAATAAAAAACTATCGGACTGTATTTCAATTTTATTTTCATCAGTGATACGAGGGGGCCTCCCTGCCCGAGCGGTATCGCCCAACAAACGCTGTGCAAAGCATGGAGGTAGCGGGTTCGAATCCCTCCGTAACCCTGAATGTATTCTTCGTTATGTCCTTCTCTGAATTGTTCGATCTGTCTTTCGCCTTGACAAAGGTTTACAAGCCTAAATTGAGCACACAAACCTGCGAATGTACGTCATATCAATTTAAGTGCTACGAGCACGCTCAAGCTATTTGATCAACAACAAATTTTCAATTGATTTTCAAAAAACGATGGCAAGGATGCTAAGACAAAGGATGCCAAATTGGCTTGATATTTCTAACATATGGAGATAGTTTTTAAACCAAGGGTTTTGTGATTGCTTACCTGGAGTGCCGGAAGAGGGTGTTGAAAATTAGAAGAACGATTGCCCATAGAATCCCTATACTGGAAATAGTGGTCATGCTGATGAAAAGACTGAAATTAATGGTTCGCAAAACTTTTTTGATGATGGTGCGATCGGGCGGTGGTTTCCCATCTAAACACAAATAAATCGATAGTTCTTTAATTGAACATTTTAATAAGAAAATATTGTATTTTTCGTTCAAATTACTTAAAAGATCATTTTAATACTCTTTATAGCAAATAGGTTTTTAAAAAGAATAGAGATATTTTGAATATTACCTGCCCATTTTTCTTTATTAAACCAAGTTAAATTGTCCGTTTGAGTATCGTAATAGCCTAGTAAAGAGTAATTGCCATCTAAAAATACACAGAGAAAACGTATTTTGTTAGAAATAGAAATGAATAAACAATAAGATTTTATAATTATAAGAAATAGAACAGTCGGCAAAAAAAAATTGCATTAAAATACATTACATTAACAAACATGGTGTAATTTTGTCAGCGAGTGTATAGTACAGGGGTTTCCAACTTACATGAGGCCGGGGGCCACAATTAAAAACACAAATCAAATTGCGGGCCGCAATTTTATCAAAATTTTATGTAGGACTCTTTCAAGTTTGAAAGAACATTAAATATTACTGTCAGATTTTCACTAAGTTGTACAAAACAAAAGTATTGAATTACAAATTAAAGTAAGAAGTAAATTTAAAAAAATATTTATTGCATATTAAAAAATTCGGGCTACAATAACTTTAATGTATTAAACAATAATGTGCAAAAGATATCTAATTGTTAAGATATAAGATTTTAAAAAGGTTGGTATTAAAACTTACATAGTAGCACACAAAATGTTCAATGACAAAATTGAGGTTTGTCTGCGACAACCATCAGAGAATAGATATTTACATTTAAAACTTACAAATGTAAGTGTTAATATTTTCGTCTAAAATGAGTGGTTTCAAAAAATTAAATCGGAGAATTTCTTCGAGAACATTTCTGATACACACATGCTAAATTATATTCACAAAATATTAAAAAAAAAAATGAAATGAAAGAGAGCAACATACACGATTATTTTTGTATTTGAATGAATATATTCTTGGATGCAAAAACTGAGAAATAATATTTTTGCAAAGTTGGTATGTTAAATTTCACAGAAACGAAGAAATTAGGTTTTTATTAGCGAGAAAAGTATTTTAAAACCATATAGATTTTTTACGAAAATTGTTCGAAAAAATATTTTAGTTCGCGGGCCACAAAAAAAGGCATCGCGGGCCGGATGCGGCCCCCGGGCCGCCAGTTGGAATTCACTGGTATAGTAGGATTACTATAGGGGAAAATTATGTACTAAAAACTGTTATAATGATCATGACTGAGTTTCCGTAGGTATCGTATGCTTTTTTCATAGAGACGGGATCCTCAATGTAAAAAACTGAAAAAGGAATTGGAATGATATTTTTTTTAAAAAAATGAATAGCGGTAACGATAGACGGAGATGAAGAGAGCAAGAAGTAGCATATTGTTTTCTTTTTTACCTAGTTTCTGTTAGAGCGAGGAAAAAATTTATAAAATACGTTTTTTTTTTCATCTCTGCCTAGCACCGTAGTTCTTCGATCTAAAAGTATCGATCATGTCCCGTTTTTAAGTTTGTTTTTTTNTTTTTTGTTTTTTTTTTTTTTTTTACTGTTAAGGGTCACGTTTGGTTATTGTATCTGTAACCGCAACTATGAGAGCCGTGTAATTGTTATATATAT